CTCCATTGTGGCCCCGCCCTACCCTCGGGGGTCATGATTTGAACAAATTTGAATTTTTACTACCTGAGGATGCTTCCATATAAATATGACTAATCAGGGCTTTGCTGTTCTTGAGAAGAAGATTTTTTAAAGATTTTTCCTATACATTTCTATGTAAAACTTTGATCCTCCATTGTGGCCCTGCCCTACCCTCGGGGGTCATGATTTGAACAAACTTGAATCTTCACTACTTGAGGATGCTTCCATATAAATATGACTCATCATGGCTTTGCTGTTCTTGAGAAGAAGATTTTTAAAGGTTTTTCCTATTTATTTCTATGTAAAACTTTGATCCTCAATTGTGGCCCCGCCCTACCCCCGGGTGTCATGATTTGAACAAACTTGAATCTACACTACCTGAGGATGCTTTCATATAAATATGACCAATTAGGGCTTTGCTGTTCTTGAGAAGAAGATTTTTAAAGATTTTTCCTATATATTTCTATGTAAAACTTTGATCCTCCATTGTGGCCCCGCCCTACCCCCGGGGGTCATGATTTGAACAAATTTGAATTTTTACTACCTGAGCATGCTTCTATATAAATATGACTCATCATGGCTTTGCTGTTCTTGAGAAGAAGATTTTTAAAGGTTTTTCCTATATATTTCTATGTAAAACTTTGATCCTCCATTGTGGCCCCACCCTACCCCCGGGGGTCATGATTTGAACAAACTTGAATCTACACTACCTGAGAATGCTTCCACATGAGTTTCATCTTCCCTGGCTCTGTTGTTCTTGACAAGAAGATTTTTAAAAGATGCTATTAATTTTTCACTAATTCTTTATTATCTCCCCTTGAAAGAGGGCATGGCCCTTCATTTGAACAAACCTGAATCCCCTTCACCCAAGGATACTTTGTGGCAAGTTTGGTTGAAATCGGCTCAGTGGTTCTTGAGAAGAAGATGAAAATGTGAAAAGTTTACGACAACAACGACGCCGACGACGCCGACGCCGACAGACAACGGACAAATTTTGATCAGAAAAGCTCACTTGAGCCTTTGGCTCAGGTGAGCTAAAAACATACGTGTTAATCCGGGACAAATCGTAGACAATGATCAAAATGCCTCCAGCCAGTTTGAACTTAGGGTGTCAAAGGACTTCAGGGTGTATGTAATTTGTTGTTTTGTACATATTTTACAGTTAGCGGCTGGCTTGCGCCAAGACAGACACGCTGGACAGCACTCTCGTCCGCTATATGGCAGAGCCTGTCCATATTGTTAATAAATTGTTATTGCCGTATATTTGGAGTTCCGTCTTTATATTTATCTGCAAGATTGGATGCACAAATTAGACGGTTAAATCTACCACGAAATGTAAAATGTCATATTCAAAGCTACTCAACACTTTTTCATCCACGAAATAAATTCCCCACGAACCCGGTCATAGTTTTATATTAAACCACGAAAATCGGACCCCACGAGAATATGTGATTTTACAGAATGTAAAGTCTGCCCAGCTTTTTTCAGCCGACCAGTCATGGACATTTAAACTACATGTATAAAGGTTTTGTACACACTTTACTGCAGATCACACGCCAAATACGTCCATCTTCTTTGTAGATCACCGTCTATGAGATTGATCAACCCGATATATTTCTGTAGACAGTCAGTAACAAACCTAATAAGGAATAATGCCTAGTATACTTTTTGTTGCTTTGCAGTTGTGCATGTAAACGGGAAGACGATTTGCAGTGGAATTTTGAATTTGTTTTTCCAAAAAGGTCTAATATAAGATGTATTGGTGAATTATCATTCGATGACTACCTAGTTTTCGATTTTTTAAAAACTTTTTTTTCGGAAATATCTGTACTTTCAACTTGTAAATTTACCCGATCGGATTTAAAGATTGATATAGAAATGTTTATGCATATTTTCTCCCGAGTTAAACTGGCTTTCTTCAGATTCTATTCATCTACCTGTATTTTTAACTTTTAACGCCTTTTATGGTGGCCTTATCTAAGAAAGACAACTTGTTTTTGTCTTTATTTTGACAATATCATAAAATACCTCAGGGACAAAAAGTTTTTTTTTTAATGGAGAGCTGTATTTTGGTTAATATCATGTCATTAATTTTAACAATTGAAATACAATTTTTACAGCGATCAAATAATAAATCTCAAAGTTATTAAAATAATAAAAATTTTCATTGTTCAAAATCTCGTTGTACACATAAAAACAAAACCTGATTAAATAATTGCCGATTTTTAATGGTTAAATCATCAAATATTTTTGGACCAGTAATATTCCAATTTAAAAGTGAGGGGGTTTGCGTTGTATTTTTTTTTTATTTGATTCAAGCTTTGTGAACAAACATTTACTTAGTTTTTTTTTTCCTTTGCACAGTACACCAAGAAAGACAACTCGTGTTAAAGTCGTGCCTGTTTTCGTACAAAATGACCCCCCCCCCCCCTTTCATTTTATCATGATCGTCGAAATCACATGTGAGTTTGATCTGAACATTAACATGATCATAGATATAATTGAGTTTTGTGATTTTTTTTGAGTAAGTTGTATCGATAATTTACTTTATGATTTTTGCAAGTCTCATTTCATGTATACTATACGAGGATTTAATGGCAGTTTATGTAATAATACTACGAGTTAATTTAGCGTGGAGAGCTATAGGATATTTTCACAGGCCCGATAAAGGCGGGGGGATTTTCTGAATATTATTATTTATTTATTACTTAAGACATACATCTTATCGCATTTCAACATATAATACAAAATATTACAAAATGGCATTGTATAGCGGTCCTTATTGATTACAAAAATATAATACAATATAACCATAATGATTTCATGGAGAATTTGTGGAATTCACTACCAGGAGGAGCAGTCGAGGCCAAGACCCTGGACAGCTTTAAGACCCAGCTTTCCAGTGCCAGCCACTAGAATCACACCTGCGTTTTTATCTTTTAATTTTAAAGTTTTATTGAGCACTTTACATAGACACGCACCCCTCACGCAGAGTGCGATAATACTTTAGTGGTTTTGCACTGAACTGGAAGAAGAAGAAGAATTACCATATGATAGAATGCTTTCTCTCAGTTTAAAAGCAAAATGAATATATATCCCTAAATTACAAAGATCATGGACATTGCGTGTACCTAATAATTGTACAAATTTAAAAACAGATGGTTTTTGCCAGTAATACAATATATATAATATAGTATTTTGCTGTAGTACATTTTCATTTAGTTGCTGCCCCCCCCCCCCAACACACACACTTTTTTTTGCTGTAATGTCGGAACATTGGCATTTGGGGGGGGGGAGCCCCCATTCCCTTGAGAAACCGTTGCTACGGGCCTGATCTAAGATAAATATTTCTGACGGACAAATACCAGAAAGTTACAGGGATATCCTCTGTAAAAACCTTTTAATAGCTACGTTTACGATTTTCCTTCCCTTCACGAAGAGTGCTTGGTCGCAGGTTTCGGGTATTTTTTTCTATTATTATACACATTCCAAAGCATGGTATTCAGCATATAAGCGTATTAATCATATATTCCATTGCTGCTCTTTTACCTTTACGGGTTAATAAAGGATTCCTAATGGTTTATTTCTGTTCCCTTGAAATGTCACTGTTTCAAAATCTTTGCCTACTGACAGTCATATTATGACCATACTAAAAGGAATTTCTGTCGGAAAGGCCCGAGAAGTTGCGATTGTGCTATCTACCGTATTTTGGAGGCTTTAGAGAATTTAAGCCTCCTACTGGATTTGCTGTCGGTACTTACATATTCATGAAAGCGTCATAAAATCTCTCAAGTTAAAGATTAACTGTAGCTGCAGACTGTATCTCCCTGGAACGGAGTATTCGGATAGACATACCAGAGCGCTACAGAGTCATTCATTGTAAAAATATTCGATTTACAGCAAGGTTATCTGGGGGCAAGTTTCGGGATATTATTTCTCGCATTATACACAGTCCCCAGTTTAAAGCAGGGTATCTGTTGATTAAACACATATTATACTCCAAGTTCTTATTCTATTTACCTTAACAACGATTTCAAACGACCCTGGGGCCTTGTTATGCATGTCACTATTTCAGAAAGTTTACTTACTAAAAAACTGGGTCAAACTAAATAACACAAGGTAGAGAAAATACATGCATATGCCGAGAAAATCTACTTTTGATATTTGGGGGGGGGGGGGATTTCAATTGATAAATTTATCTTCTATGAAGGTAAGTAATTAATTAGAAATAGATTAGATGAATAACACGATAGGTATAGAGATTTTCTCATGTACAATGTGCGGAAGAACAACCTATGATGTGTTACGTAGGCGTCCGTAACAACCCCCCTCTTCATCAACATTGAAATAAATGTAGTTGGGGAAGGGGGTTGGGGTTCTAATCTATAGAGCCTGGAGCTTTACTTCATTAAATATAAAGATATTACCTAAAAATACTACAGAAGGGACACTTTATCTATCCAATTCTTTATTAGATAGGAAACGACTCCATTTTGTATAAAATTTTAATATCCGGTTATTTTTATACATTAGAAGTGGGTTTTTTTTTTAGCATGCTGGTAAGGCTGGAGATTTGTGGGTGGCAATGGAGAACGCATAACCCTCCATTCACAGAGTGATGATGCTAAAATAATGGACTACTTCAAGAGGAGGCAGTGTCATTCCAAAAGGTAGTGGAATTTTTATAGGACGTAATTTCGTAAAGTATATCTTGGTTATAACTGGTATTATACTATAAACTTCTTAATAAACCTTTCATCAGCAAATAATTTTCAAACAGAAGAAAAATATATGTGGTCTCGATTTCTCGCCTAGAAGCGCTATCAATGTTATTCTCTAGACAGACATAGCATACAGCAATATATTGGGATCACTTTTCTTTTTGATTTGAAGTAACAGGTAAGATACGGAGATAGTATTATTCCAGGTATTCTGGAAAAGTTTTGCACCCACGGAACTTTTACAGTCGTTCCTTTTCTGACCGTCATGCCTTTATATTAAGCTTCAAGTCTGAGGATGCCGAGTAGTTCGCGCAAAAATTGTGGAATGTTTAGCAAACTATTCCCAGAGATATGAAATAGCTGAAATTAATTTTTCGACGTTTTCCTCCGTATTGGTGATTTAGTCAATAAAAGAACAATGACTGTGTTAGAGAAATTGTCAAAATAATAGGATAAATGAGAGAGAGAGAGAGAGAGAGAGAGCGTAAAATCCTTACATGTATTTGGAGTTTACCTAGCTGCAGAACTGTAGCGTTATGGTTTTATATTTTAGTCTTATGGTCAAAGCCTAAAATATAAAACCATAAGGCTACAGTTCTGCAGCTAGAGTTTACTATGAATGCACCCTATATAAATTGATAAACACATAAATAACTTCGCCATGAAGTAGTTGAAGGAACGAGGAAACAATTAATGATTAGAAAATCAATTATAATTACATTTTCACTAGAAATGAAATTATATACTCGGAACTGTAAAAAAAAAAATTCTAAATCCCAAACTAAAAGTGGACCTGGGCTTGAAAGTAACTTATAATTAACTGTCAATTAAAAGAAAGGAAAACCATGTCCGAAATGTCCGGCAGCACGATCAAAGCAGCCAGTGATCTTCATCTATATTTAGATCAAGTCGTGGGGTTACTAAATGAGAGCGGTCATTTTCGTCCCTTGCTAATTGACGTTTATGTTCTCACAAGAGGATTGTTCGAGGACTTCTTATGACACAAGCATGCCCAATCTGCATATTCTAAGAGGCACCCAAGGGGACTACGAATTCAAAAAATGAAACATCGGAAACTAACCATAATTCATTTTTCATTTTCCATCTCTTTGTAAACATTCTCCGACATTTAAAACCATTTTTTTCTTGTGTTTTTCCATTTTTTAACAATTTGTACATAACACAGACAACATTAACCTTTCTTTTCTGGAAAAAAAAAATTGCAATAGAAAGAACAGCCTTGGGATTTTTTTTTATGTTTTGTAAATAAAAACACACAATGAATATAAACGAAATGTATTCTGAGACAATCTTCACAAACTTTATACAAATATTAGAAATAAACACATATTTACTAAATATCCATGAGCATCCATATGAAAAAATCCCTTTCGTGTTCCCCTTTTACAAAACCAATAGGTACCATTTTATATGATGCGTAAAATCAGCAACACAAAAGATCTCTTTTCCAATCCTTTAACGTTTGTTGTTCGTGTGGAATACGTCATCTCATTTCTTGTGCCACGAAGAATGTATTTCTAACATTTAACCATATCAGACATTGTCCAGGATCGACCGACATTTGGGGTAGCTGTAATTATTTATAAACGGATTATTCAAGTCAAGACTTTTTCAGCAACAAAGATTACAGTATGAATATACAAATGAAAAACTGTGTTTTAATTTTTGTAATTTTCACTTAACGCGAACAGGAATAGAGACAGTGGGCATCCCTGCCTTACACCACATCTAAGGCGCCGCTTATTTCGGACACAATATTATCAGAGCCTGTTCAGTCCTGACGTAGTCGTCAGTGCAGGCGACTTTTCGACAGATTCACGGCTTTTAGCCGTATTTTGGATTAATACTTTCGCTTTCTGAATTTTTTATTGTTTGTTTACAAATTGTGCAATATTATTTCATACCGAATATGAGGAACCTTTTATTATTTGCTGCAGCAGGTAAGGGCGGTTTTAATTTCTTTACTATTTTATCAAACTTTTAAAACTTTTTTCCTTACGATTTTTCTTTCTTTATTTGATTTTTTTTCCCTTAAATTTCAAATGTCCTTGGAGCTGCATTAAGTTATGTTTTAAGCTTTATGTTAATTTATTTTTCAGTGTGCTGTTTTCATTTAGGTAAGTGACTTTTTTAATATAATACTATTTTAGTCATGGAAATAAGTCATATTGATGATATTTAACACTTGCTCAAATGTATATGCTTGAAAGTTTCTTTTGCAATTATTATTCTTAAAATATTGGATGATTTTTTTTAAACTTCAGTTTAATATCATTTAGAAAATAATCACTCAAATATCAGGGAAAACAATTTATGCTTAACAATTGTTTAAAAGTATTCATACAGAAATCTTTCAATCTTTTAAGTTAAAATTAACCATGATTTAGGTCTAACGCTCATCACAAAGCGTCCATAAACGAATCTTTGTGTAATACAAGATTCTGTCTGCATTTGCAAACAAAATTTAAGGTTTTAATGAAACCAATTTTGTAACTTATTAACAATACTTTATAGAATTACACATTAATTATCGTGTAATTTTTACAATTTATTCGCGTAAGTTATCGCTTCAGCACTGTGACCTTACGTCACAATAGACGTCGTACTGTAAATATATCCCCCGCGGCCCTTTTTATAAGAAGCCATTTGTCAAGGTGTAAATCATGAGCATCGGATATGCACATCAGGAGAATCTTTGCGGGTTTTATTGTCAATTTAAGTTGTCACGTTCTAGTTTATGGGACCTAAGTGTACAAACTGTCAGGCCTCGTGATTGCTCGACCCCTAGACATAAAATCACATAAATTTGACGTTTAACTGTTTAAGAACATTTATGACTCATGTAATTTTTATTCGACCTTTCAAAACTTATCATGAAAAGGGCATTTATTGTCTTTTAAGATTTTTTTTTCTGCCGTAAAAGTGTGTTTGGATGAAGGAAATGTATTAGTTCATTACATATGCATACCGATTATATGTATTATATAATGTATATTTAGCAGATAGGAATTTGATTTGAAAACGATTAAAATAATTTAATAAATTTGATAATTTGCCGTAAAGATGATAAAAGTCAAATAAAAGGATGAAAAATAATTATGACCTGTTAGGTTTTTCGCCCATCGCAAATTTATACGAAACTGTCACTAATAAAATTACCGTGAATTTACCACTTAAGTTAAAAAAAGAAATTCGACAAAGAATATGAAAATTTTTCTGAGATACATGTATTCATTCTTTAATGACTGGATAAGTTAATTCTCTTTGATAAAAAAGAAAGAAAAAATCAGAAATATAACTTATTTGAGAATTTAACGATAAAACTCATTCTTTTCAGAACTACATATATCTTGCAGGGTGAAATCATCAAAAAGCAAAAGGAAAACTCCAAAAACATTCAAAATGTATTTTTTTTTTTTTGATAAAACGGACAAAAAACATATATACCATTTTTTTTAAATCTCAGCATTTAATATTCAGACACGTTTTTGAAACTATGACTTTGTTTTACTAATTATGTTGCAACTGATAATTTTGCTAAAATGGAGCAAAAATTTTATTACGGCAATTAACAAAGAAGATGCTTTATAATCAATCACTTACATATAACAATGTATCAAAACGTAAATTCTCTTTTGTCTAAAGTGTTTTAAAAAGAAGATTTATTTCCTTCAAAACTACATGCATTTGCGTCTTGTCAAGCGTTTTTACGACTTCTCGTAAAATGTGACGTACCGCGAGATTTTTATGAGATTAAGGTGAAGACAATTACAGCGTCGGAATTATATCGTCTTACTCTGTGATGGGAACTTTGTCTCCACCTATAAATAAAGCGAAAAAAAAATGTTCTGAAAAAAAAATACCACGAACTGTTCTCTCAAGAAAACAGACACTTTTCATATACTACTTCCATTCCGACTCTCCCTTTCAAAAAAAGAAGGTTACCCTTGGATATAAATAATATTAATGTAATAATAAATATTTATGTCTTATTTTACTTTTGTAATTTATTTAAATTCTTCAAAAGATATTAATCAAAAAATTGATTTGATTGTTCTCCGTAACTTTGTATAACTGTACATGTCTTCATTTCTATGAACTACGATGTTTCAACCACTATTCCATTTCAACTAAATGCTATGCTAAATGAAAAAAAGTTTAATTAGTGTTATTTGTCTATTGGTAACTGTTATGTTGTACATTTTGAATTTACGGGGTGGCAGTAATATTTTATGCCAGTGTAAATGATACAAACAAGTACAGCTAAATTGAGAGAGCAGTCGTCAATGTTCAAAGGAAGCGCTAATTTTGATTTTCGTTTATGACGTTCATTTAACCTCCCCATCCGTGGTGTTTTGAATGCTGAAGCTTTCCACACACCTAGTAGAGAAAAGCTTTTCATCTAAAAAGCTGAAGTATATATAGACATAGGAGGCCAATGGTCCTTTTTCATGCTGTCTTGGAGAGTTTATAGAAAAAAAATGTGTTATACATACGTTTAAGAAAACATTAACGCTTTTTGTAGAGGACTTCTCTAGGAAAAAACCTTGATAATCATTAAACTCTCTGAACTATGTAGAGACATTGCTGGTACAACATTACATGTACCTCTAGTTATGTGGTCAGTATTGGCAAGAGAGTGGAGGATTGCAGTTTGTGGTCGAACAACAGTGATTTAATTGTCCCCGTCTCTGCCAGTCATGCGTATCCACCAAAAACTCGTACAAATAACAGGTTGTTTACCAAATATATCGCCTGCTTACGTAAATAGATACATAACCATTTACAGATCTGTCATAGTGATTCATTTATACTAAATAGCTACCTTTCAAATCTATCATGAAAAATGACTAAAATAAAGTTCTTCAAAGGTATAAAATATTTGGTGCTCAGAGCTTGATCTTCACTCATTGGCAAAATCTCTGTAAACCTTCAACAGATAGAAATGTGAAAATGTGCACACAAAGCGAATGTTAATGGCTAATATCAAAAAAGCTCAGTGCTCGCTCTGCGATTGGAAGGTCGTGTGTTTGAATCACGGCCGCAGCTGACCTAAGTCGATAAAAAGGTAGTAACTGTTCCTTCCCCAAGCGCTCGGCACTTTGAAGTGAAAGTTGCTGGTCCCTCGGATGAGAACTTAAAAACCGAGGCCCCGTGTCATGGCAGGCGTTGGCACGATAAAGAACCTTCACTGCTCAATGGCCTTGAGTGCCGAGTAAAGGTCTAAATTTGAAGCCCTTCATTGGTATATGGTGACGTCTCTATATGAGTGAAAAATTCTCGAACGGGACCTAAAACAACATACATACAATCAGTCAATTAAAAAAACTCATTTGAGAAAATGTTTTACATTTTTATAAGATTCGTTGATTTGGAAATGGCAAAACCTAATAGAACTACGTATGCAAAAAAAGGCATTATCATCTAAACACAGTTAAGTCGACAGCTCAGTTTTAAGATCTGTTAAGCTTTTGTTGTTAGTGGACTTTTGACCAGGCATTGCATCGTAGATCCCTTATATACGGTATATATCTTGTTCTTTATATTAATATATGCGTTTTATGCTGATAAACCACACAGAACATGTGCGGAGACGTCTCAATACCTGTTTGTGATGTAGATATAGTAATTAACGAATGATAATTACGACTATATACCACCTGTACACTCACACACAAGGTCGTAAACAAACTCTGGTTCTCCTCACGCGCGAGCGAGACTTGCACGATTTTCTCCCAGTAAGATTTTAAGCCGTATTATATGTCTGTCAGTATTATATATATTCCCTTACATTCAGTCGTACGTATTCTTACAAATCAGAGAGGGATTGAATACACTTTTAAAAAAAATCTGCACTTAGAAATTCAAAATTTCATAAACCCTCTTCATGAAATGTTGCGTTGTAAAGATATCCCTTAAATCTTGACTTAAATGTTAATTAATAGTGACTTTCTACTTTTGAAATAAAATATTTTTCGGATTTCCGCTTTTCCATGTTAATATACATGTAAAATCTTAAGCACAAAGCTTTAAAGACTGGCGTGTATACTTAAACTGATTCTTTCCTGTTTAAACACGTTTATAAGTCAAACAGTTGTAATGCCTTCCCTTCAAAGCAAAATGAGGCCTCAAAAAGAGGATGAAAATCAAAATAAATCTGGAAGAAAGTTTCTCAGTGGTAGTTGTATATTTTCACGTTTAATTTCACAAATTAACTTATGGCAACGGACCCCCAACCCCAACACCACGCCAAGAATTATAATTTGATAATAATCTGAATAATTTCTTTGTTTTAGCTGTAGGGCAGACACAATCTAAGTTACCTAACATCAAATGGCAAGCCAACCTAGGCGGCGCTGGAATCGGTAAGTTTAAGTTTTTCATCGTATTGAAATCTGTCTCAAGACTGGAAAGCAATCTCTTGATACACTGAAAAGATTTTTTAAAAATACGAAAATAAGCTTTCGAGGCAAGGTAGACTTACTTTCACATTCATTTTCAAAATTCCCTGTAAATGTTAAAGTGACACGTTTTGTTATCATTGATTCCTGTTCCTTGACTGCATTTCAATTTGGATTTCTTAAGCATTTTTTCATCGGAGTCTTCTCTGATTTTGACACCTTTTAAAAGAGTTAAGATCAATGTTGACAAGTAGACCAATTGATAAGTAAAATCTAAATGTCAATGTCCCCTTAGACATCTAATCCGTATATATATATACAGAGCTTAATGTAAGAAACATGGGTATATGCTTGCAGGTTTACAAAATTAATTTTGTAATGCACCTATTTAGACGACTCGGATTTCGAAAATAGTTATATGCAAGTTTAAGCATTTGCTTTTTAATATTTGGTGTTGACTCATTGGTTTTCATTTCAAATGACATTGGTCATTTTATAGCTCGTGAATTTTAATATGTATTTCTCGGATAAAATTTGCAATATATAATAAATGAGAAGTTTTAAAAGTTCTTCGGCAGAAAAGTCATTTTGTAAACCTTATCTAGTCGAGGTTCATGTGGATTTTATCGGGATCAAAATTCAGAATAATGGAGCGAGTTTGAGATTCCGAGAAATACGCAATTGTGGGTCATATAAAGAAAAAGTCAGAAATGATTCGAAATTTCTCTTCATTCAAATACACGATGTAAATGAATGTACCATATACCCATGTAAATGATGACATAAATACCGAATTAACGTTTACTTAAAGCTTAATTGCATAATTGCTACTGACATTGCTTTAATTTGATTAACTTTGAAACTAATATGGCCACGCATTATAACATAGAAATAACACAAGTAATTGGAAAAGTTCACTGATTTACCAAACGTCTCAGTAATTGAGTCTAATAATTTTTTCAATGTACTTTTCACTTAAAGAATTCTACAAAGAAAAATAGCTAGCATTTTGAATTAGTTTTTTTTTTTCAATCTCTAAAATTATTGTCAATAATTGAGAGATATCGTGAAAATGTTTGAATTTCAAAGTATTGGTTATTCTCCTTTGTTGGACATTAAACTTAAATCATTTAAAGACTAACTTAACATAATGCGAAACGCATGCAGTCTGAGACAATACATGCAGAATTGACGGAACCTTAATAAAATCTTTTCCCCCCTTTTTTCCATTGAAATCGTATTTAAATCTTCTGGTGCCAGAACTTTATTTTGTCCCATTTCTGAAAAAGAAAGAAAAACTTCATGTTTCGAAAATGCCTGAGGCCTGAGGTTAGCATGTTGATTTCAGATATGACTGCGATTTCGTATTTTCACTTTTTATTTGCTTTTTTGCACTGGATTGGAATATATAACGTGCATGTGGTGACGATATTGTACAAAGGTTTGAATTTCAGGGCTCCCAATCTCCTTCAACATTCCGGTCATAACGCCGCGAAGTAAAGTGAAGCTAGGTAAGGACTTTCGCCGCGTACTGTATTCATGTCTTCGTGCTTCCTGTAGCGTGTAGCCCTTTTGTCGTGTGCTGTAGTATTGTAGTTGTTTGTGACGTTTACTGTTGCCTTTGTTTATCTGTTTCAAGGCGTTTGCGATGATCGAACAAAACAAAAAAAGCAAAGTTCAATAGCAATGGCCTGTAAGAAAGGATTAGCCGTAGCTTTCTTATTTTATTCATGACTTTTTTCTAACAATTACATGGTTTTCCTACTTTTCTGTAATCATTTGACAAAAATAGATTAGATATTCTTTGAACATACAGAAATATTTCTTTAAAACATTGTCTCACAGTCTCCCTCATAACTAATATTAACAGATAGAAAAAACACATTAAATCATAAAAATATATCACTAATGTTTGCATGATTCAAAAACTGGCAGTTTCTATTCTTTATGATATTGATGAAGCTAGATAATCTTCACAAATTTGGCAAAAACATCTTCCAGCAAATTATATGGTGAACACGTCAAGTGAAAAACAAAGTGCTAATGTTCAACAGCAAAACAGCACTGACTTCAAAAAGACATCTTCTTCTTTAATTAAAACCCCTCATAAAAAAGATGGTGCCGTAAGAGTGGATGCCAAACCAGCAGAAACTAGAAGGACAATGGATACGAATTTGAATGTTTCTAACGATCGTCCGAGAATGTCAACCTCAGTGGACGGTAGGTCACTCATTTATCCACAGTACCAGGAAATATCGCATGTGATGCCTCCGCCCATTTACTCTTCAAATTCTCAGGAGAGATTTGCAGGAAAATCCACAGAAATTCCTATGCATTTGCTTCGGTCTGGCAAAAACATTGTAACAAAAACAATAACAAAAAGACAAAAAGAAAATGGCGTCACAGAGATCCACATAACAACCGTAACTAGAAAGCTGGTGGGTAACGTTCCTAGTCCGGATTCTTCAAATAGAACTGTAGTACTCCGCACTGTTAAGAAAGGTGTTTCACCGCTGTCTAGTTCAGATTTAAGTCCTCGTCCATCTGTTGATCTATCCTTTCCTTTAGAGGAAAGCTCTTCCAGCAAATCGAATTCTAGTAGTTTCAACGATAAAAGGGAAACAAACATTGCTGTATCCAGTCAAATCCGTAATTTGCTACCACAGTCTATTTCGATTAGGACAAATTACAGAGAAGTAGATACTTCAAATCCTACAAGTATTTCTAAATTAAGTACATCCAGTAGAAAGGTTTCCAACGTAGATGTAAATTTGGCAAGTAGTGCTTTTCCATCAAAAATTACTAGCGTCCAAGATTCTTCTTCAGATATGAGATCTACAATATCTTCAAAAGATCAAATGTCATCAGTGAATGGACAGAGCATTCTACCTGATCCTGGTCTTTCCAAAGATGTAATCTTGAAGAAGAAAGAAAGTGTGACACCATCACCACGTGTTACACTTCCAGCAAGTTTTCGTAGAAAGATTGCGATTAGAGGACAGGACGCTGGAGATTCCATGCATATTCCCATTGTTAACTCTAAAGATAAATCTCCAATACACAATCAACCTGACAGTAATAGATCCAGTGGGACATCTAGTAAACAAGATATTAAAGCAACAGAAAGAACTCGTGTACCTAGCTTTAGAACTGTTATTGGAAATTCTAAAGACTCTTCTATTAACGATACCCGCGCGGATGAAAGCAAAGCGAGGGTGACTGCAGAAGTAAATAAAAGTCTTGTCGAAAATATGCCATTAATTGTTACCAAAACGGTAAAAAATAGCGAAACGAAACAAATGGGTATTGTTAAAAATCTCTCTCATAAAAATACGCAGATCGAGGATAAATCAATAGAGAAACAGCAAACCAAAGTGTCAACAAACGTAAGAGAAGCATTTACGACTACGAAGACCCAGTCGGCAGATCCCAGTCCTCCAACAGAGAAATTCAGTGACGCCAGGACTAGGTCGCGCAAACCAATTACAAAAACAAGAACAGAAATTCCTGTTTTAAAGGAAACAGAAACAGGGAAAGAAACAATAAAAGTTCTAAAAAGTCCATCTCGTGAGATCATTAATAGAAGCCAACGCAATAGACTTGACTTTTCATTGACCAATGCAGGTGGCAACAGAAGATCAGAGAGCAGGCGACGAAAACCTTCAAGACCCAGAAAGACAATGAAATCAGAAGAACAGAAAATTAAAGTTGTCAAAGAGAAAAAGATGCCACCACCGCCATTGGAAGTCCCTGATATTCCAGGTTCGAAGCATTTCTGCAATTAACCAGAGTAATGATATTTATTATTAATAAATGGGAGGACGGTTAATAGAACAATATAATATGGAGATAAGTCTTCCAGGAAAAAAGTTTTTGAATACAATTGTTGTCAGAACAAATAAGTTAATAGCACAAGCACGATACAAGAATATGAGGGTTTTTGATTTGAGTAGAACTTAGATATACAATATGTCAGTAAATATATTCTGATATTTGATATTTTTATTTGGTAATAATTAATCCTTTTTACTTTTCAGCGGATGTAGACCAGCAAATTCCAAATGCATCTAAAGTTCTCCTTAACAAACTTGTAAAGACAGCTGTGGAAAGCGAATACAGTACCCCAGGTAAAAGTCTTTTATTTCTTTGCAGTATCCAATGAAACAAATTCTACTTTGTTACGCACTGAAATTTTTTAAAACTGAAATTTTATTATTTGATTCTTAAAGGTAAACAGCGTGAAATCCAGGCAAAACAATTACAAATCTACAATGAACTTCTGGCTTCCTTAAAGAAAGCTGTTTCTGGAAATTCTGGAAAAGAGAATTTGCCAATCAGCCAAACAAAAGAGAAGCATAAATCAGTTAAAGAACGGAAAATCAGTCATACAAAAGACGTAGTCCCCACACCTGGTATCATTGAAAAAGTATCAGTTGAAACAGCTTTCAAAAAATCTTCACAATTAAAAACAACAGGAAGGGAAGAAAAAGTAGGAGCTGGAAATGATCAAATCATTAACATCGCTATCGACATGCCAGTTAAAACGACTAAGGGACCAATTCAGGACGTTTTTCTAGCTTCACGACTTAAAGCTGAGCAATCTCTGAAAAAACTTGTCAAACAAAAACAAGATATAGTAGCACCGACCAAAGCCATTTCATCAGAGGAGAGCATAAACAAACGACCAAGCACATCAGATGTCCTGTCTTCATCTATTCGAAGAAATCAAGCTGTTAAAGTATCAACACAAAAAGGGAGAAAAGACTTAATTCCAACCATTAACTTGTTGACAGATATCAAACCTCCTGGGGTATCGCCGGAGGAGGTCCTCACTGCTCATATTACTCCGGAAAAGAGCATTCCCAAATCTAGAACCATAGATTTTGTTTCACACAAGTCTAAACAATCAGATTCCACCATGAATGAACCATATGTAGATTTTGCTCATCACAAAAATGATTGGCTACCAATATCTGTCAACGAAGGTCCAGTAAGAGCAGACCATCCGCGATGGATGGAGCATGGTCATGAAGTCGGTCATGGAGTAATGTCCCACGTCTCTGATCTTCACGCACCCAAACATGTCCAAAGCTTTGTTGGTATTACTCCTCAAGGTATATTTGTACCATCTGTTCTTTCTCATTTTCTCCAATTTTGCCCCGATACTACATTAATCTACACACATCCTTAATACCTGGTGTTCTCCCTCAAATGATCATTTGATTGGCTTAAATATTAACGTGTCTGCGCTTCTGCTTTCAAAAAATAAAATTGTATAAAATAGAATAAAACAAAAATGTTTCTAATTTGAAAAAGAGCAAATTATTAAGAGAAAAATGTTCAGGTGAAGAAACTAAATTATTCTAAATTTTTCATAGGTAGCACACAAGTACAGAGCCATCAGTCAATTTCAACTACCAATCAAAAACAATCAAATGATCAATGGGTAGTAGTACCGTCCACGGCACGCCCCTCTTCTTGGGAGGATACGTCCCTTTCATCTGGAACTGGAGGCCGCTGGGCTGTTGTTCCAACTAAATCAAACTCTAAAGGTAAATTGTCACTCCAACTTTTCCTCTTATTTCTTTTCGTGTTGTTTATTGCCTTTATTGCACCAGTTGGAATTTCTGCCATGGGATATTTGCATTGGAAGGATAAAAAATAAAAGATTACATTTCTGCCCCGTTGAAGTTTTACAAGGGATTCTTTTGCTCGACTCCGTCCATATTTTCAGATACACTAGCACTTGTGCAACATTCATTGGCTCCTTTGACTGGTACAGCTAGATTACATGCTGAAATGATTCACAAACAGAAAAAGGGTTTGTATGTAGTGATTCTCATCAACTGTGCTACGTACTAGCAAACAAGATATCTTTTTCTCATTCTCTCATGCTTTCAATGTCTTTAAATGTTGTTTTAACTAGGAATACAAATGAAATTTTCTTTCCTTTCTTGATGTTGCGTTTGTTTCCATTTCTACCGTAATTCAAAAACTGTCCCTTCTGAATCGATTCAATAGGGAAATTATTTGTCAACATGATTAAGCAAATGGAGACTGCCAGTTTATTTGATCTAGGGACAATACGAGTTATCTGAATTTGGTACTAAAAAGATATTCGCAGAAGAATGCAGGTCATTGCCTAATTTATCAATAGGTTCTTTTATTAAGAGTTTGTTCTATAAGTACGTTTTCGCATGTAACGCAACAGATGTCGCGATGTGGTAAAAATGTCGCGTGAATTTAGCGTATGTTCCCATTCCGTGTATTTAGCATATGTGCCCATTCCGAAAGAGGAAGCAAGCATACTGTAACAGAAGAAACAAAATGTGAATACAGGAAGGAAGAGAAGAGAAAGAAGAGAGAAGACAATAACTCATTATTAATCTAGATGTAGGTCACTATTAAAGCTTTTACATATTTAACGTGTAAATTTTTCTTAATATCTTGCTTATACTTACGTTTTACTCATGTCTAATGAAAAGCTTAATTCTTTGGATAAAGTGTGCTAATCAGTTAGACTTTTATCCTGACTCTAGTTCTTTAACACCTGGCCAGAGAACTGTAGATCATAACATGAGTCATATCTATACTGGTAAACTAATGCTTCAGGTAGTTCGTTAACAAATAACTAAATAATATCTCCGCCTTCTGTTATGAAGCAATGGATCAAATCGTGCTATTGGTACACACTTATATAGTGTATTTCATGATTAGAATTTAAATACCTCATTTTTTTACTCAAAATTAACTCTTTATTCTTGAAAGCTCTTTTGATTATACCGCTTACGGGTCCATAATGTAGTAGTTTGTTCGTCATTTTTAATAAGCACCACTTAAAAATAATCTATTTAGAATGCAGCTTTAACCTTTATGGTAGTTATAAGAATTTTTCACTAGCTTTAAATTTGTCATTAACATCAATCAAGGATCTAAACCTAGGAATTTCCTTTAAAACTTTACAGAAAAGAGGTCAATTTCATCGAATGGAGAAAATATATATAAACACTTACGTAGACGACGACAGACTCCGACAAACATTAGAAAGAAAATTGAAAGAATTATATCTCTGAAAGGTAATTTCTTAATTTTCTTTATCCAAGCAATTTTGAAGCAATATTTAAAGCGTTTCATAATAAATCATTCCAATTACTTAAACATCATTTCTTATGGAGTGCTCATTACAGAGTTTTTATTCTATTTTTTTTTTCAAAAATATCTAAGACGTTTGAAATGTACCATTTTAGGGGAAGGTGACGTAAATATCTACAGAGGTTATACTACACCCTCCCCAGAACAAGAAGCACGTACGCTTGCCCCAAGGTGGCCCCCAAGAGAAATGAAACCAGTATGGCCTACTTTGGCCCCCGTGTACCCGTATTATTTAGCTGGCAGCGGAAGGAACCGTGTAAATCGAATAGAAAACATTGAAACACAATCAGGTATTCCGGCATCGATGTGGGTTTCAGAACCACTGAATCCTGATCTTGGTACTCTGAACTGGAATGGAACACCAAACTGGGGAGGGGCAACAAAGTGGGATGGGACAGGAGGTGGGAGAGAAAAGTTCAGCGTTGGAAAAACGAGTAAATGGGACGTAAGTCGAGTTACTACGGATGTTGGAAGTCGAACTAAAGAATCAAAAGCTATAAATACAAATTTGAACGTTGATGGAAGAATAGGGTCTGGATCCGCAAGCAAAACAGTAGTTAAAGAAACAACATACTTTAATAAGCCTGGCGTGAATCCAAGGTGGATGGATGCCACTGTAAGAGGAGGTGTGAATATAAATGGAGGTAGTTCAATGATAGACAATTCTCTGATAACAACAGAACGAAGAACAGGGTCATCAGCAGCTGGTTCCTTAGGAACAGGCGGAGTGGTAGGATCCAAAACCACTGTCACAAAGACATCTACTACAGGATTTAACAATGGGGGTGTCAGCTCAAGAACAGTAAATGGAGGATATATCGATTTTTCAAATACACTTAATGTAATGAATGAGAAAAATGTTGTTGATAAAACAATCGACAGAAGAGTGAATGAAGTTGTTGATAGGGGAAGCTTAACCTCGACAACAACTTCAGGTGGAGATAGATTAATTGAAACATCAAGAACAGGTGGAGAGAGATTAATTGAAACATCAAGAACAGGTGGAGATAGATTCATTGAGACATCAAGAACAGGTGGAGATAGATTCATTGAGACATCAAGAACAAGTGGAGATAGATTCATTGAAACATCAAGAACAGGTGGAGATAGATTCATTGAAACATCAAGAACTGGTGGGGATAGATTCATTGAAACTTCAAGAACAGAAACAAACGCTGGTAATGGCATATCATCTTCTGTAGATGGAGGTCTAAGCACTACAATTACAGAAACATCCCCTGGTGGAGTTAGTAAAATTACAAAAACATACAGAAACCCGAATGGAAATGTAATTAAGACAATAACGACAATCACAATAATTAATGAGACGAAAATCATATCTGGTGAAGATACAACGGGAGGAAATTTTGTTACAACTAAGGACACTGTGGGTACTGTTGTAGATAACACCGGAACATTGACCACAGACAACATAGGAATTACAAGGGTTGATACCTCTGGGTCAACTACCGTAGATAGATCTTCAAAAATTGTTGACATTTCAACAACTAAGGACATCAATATAAACACTAATGAAGTACCGACTGTAACAACGTCCTCAGGTAATAGACAGATAGACAATATTCTTAGCGAATCACATTCTTCGACCAATGCTGGGGGATCTTCTGTTGATATTTTACTTAATGGGAATGCAAGGCCTGATTTCACAGAGAAAGTAACAATTAGTGAAGTTCCTGTTCAGGGAGGGAGAAGCAGTACATTTACCGAAACTGTAACAACAACTAAAGAGGTTAAAGCAGACCCTATAGTAAACATAAACACTTTTGTACCAGGTGGTAGGGGGAGTTCTTCGTCTTCATTAAGAACAAATGAATATATTGAAACAGGTACTACCAAAGTTGATATTTCGGGTAACAGAGGTACGACAAATGTTGAAATCCCCATATCAGGACGTTCTGATACTTCTGTCAGGGAAACTGTAAATTCAAATGCATTAATACGTCCTACAAACCGGGATAAAGCAGTTCGAACTGAAACCATTACTAAAACAATTGTAACTGGTGAACGTTCACGCCCTGAAACAGCAATAACAGAAAACACAATAAGTAGCTCACGGACAGATAAAGCAACAGATGTTATAGTTAGCAGTACAGGTGGGGAAACTCTAGGTGGTTCTAGTGCAGCTGACTTTGTCTTCATGCCTTCGAACGGTGCGACGGAGTCTAAGACAGTGGTTGCAACAAATACAGGTTCTTTGGTAGATGCTGGTACAGTTACTGATGTTCGCGGTGTTACCTCTTCTGAAACAAGTAAAACTATGAGAGAAACAACCTCTTCTAGAGTTGGTGATGTAACATTTACAGACCGTACAGGATCAACGGGTCCACAGTTAATCACAAGAGAAACAATAATCAGGGAAACTTTTGCTGGTGGCGTCGAACCCCACTCCGTTTTAATATCTGATGTTCATGAAAGCGGGACTACCAGTAAGACAATTCTGAGTGGTGGCGAATTACCCGGCAGAAAAGTTGATACAACATTTGTTAGCGGAAGAAATCTAGATGCACAACGCTTTGCTGATACTACAAATGATGCTACAGTCAATGTGATAAGTACGGGTTCCACAGACACAAGAAATATTTTTGACGCAATTTCCTCCATGGACTCCTCTGCTACGTCTACTAATTACCTCCTACCTGATTCTGGGGGAACTAGTAGGGGACAAACCGTTTCTGTTACAAACATTACAGTCATAGACTATAAAAGTGATGGATCAACATCAAACGTGAAAGAATCAATCAATTACGAAACTGGAGGTTCCCGAGGTTCTAATTCTAACACTCTGTTCGCGGGATCTACGGATGGAATACCGATAATGATAGATTACGGCCCACCTGTGAAAGAAACCATCTCCTCCATCAATGTGGATCCCCCGCCAATGATTATTCCTAAGGAAACGGTGGAAAGAGTAACTGCAAGAACAGGAAACATTAACTACCGACCGATTGGAACGAATTTTGGAAGAACAGTGACAGCTAATGTGGTAGATGCCCAACCGGTCGTCGTTGAAGTTATAGAGAAAACAGTGGACAATAGGCCAGTAAGTAAAGTTGTTGAAAAAGTCACAGAGACATATATCGATCAAGGTAGCCCAGGTACACAATCGTCCATCAGTTCTTCCTCATCATCCTCACCATCAATATCATCGTCAACCTCTTTCAAGACAGGCAGGGTTGATCCTTATGAAACAATGAATTCCGTGACCACAGATGGACTGCCTTTTGATGTTCTAATCGTTAAGCCTGGAAGATCTGTTACTGAAGTTCAGTCAAACTATAGCGATACAGGCGGTGTTGTGACAAATGACAAAGGAACAATAGAAGGAACAGGGGTTCAAACTATAACTGTTGTAGAGGAGATCTTAACAACAAATACGGAACCAACTAAGGCTATAAGTAGTGATGTTGGCACCAGTTTTATCGGAACAGGACAAAACACCGGAACAAGTAAAGACATTGATTCAACAGTGACTGTAACTGGACCAAGTGAAACTGGAACAAGGGGAGATTTAGGGTCAACCCTTACCGTAACTGAAAACACTGGTTCTAGTCGGGACGTAAGTTCAACGATCACAATCAATTCGGGCAAGGAAATTGGTACAAGTCGAGATAGGGATGCATCTGTTACCATCATAGACCAAGGTGCGCAATCTAGTGGAATTGTTATCGGCAAAAGCCGTGATAGGGATGCCAGCGTAATCATTAGAAGGACAGATAATGTCACGAATGATCCTTCACTTGATATCACTGGAGCAAGCAGAAGTGCTGGGGAAACTGTAACTGTTTTAGGAAGTCGAGATTCTTCATTTACTGGTGAAAGTGTTGTAGATTCTAGTCTTGTGTTTGGGTCCGATGGCAGCAGAATGTCTATTGAAGGAGATAGAACAATTGATAAGACAGCAACAATAGCTTCTGATTTAGGCACGTTGTCTGGAAGTAAAGATGTTGCCACCTCTGTTTCCCTCAATACAGGTGAGGGGTCCACCTCTTTATCTGGAGCCCAACGAAAGGATTCTTCAGTAACCATTGAATCTGCTGGGGGGTCCTCAGCCGTACTAACAGGTGACGTGAATAGAACTGTAGATATCAACAAGCAAGATGGTAAAACAGAGACTATAGTCACAACATCAAATGCAACAAGGTTGGAGACGGACATACGAACTCCATCACTGACAGAAACTATTGTAACCAATACATATACGCCAGAAATATCGAAGAAGACAGTAGTTATCCCTAGTGAAGTTACAGTAACAAGGGAGTTAATGAACTCTTCAACCTCATCTCAAGATTCTATGCCCGCTGGAAAAACAATTATAAGAGAGACAATAATAACCGAAACCTTTGTTACGGATGGTCAGGGTGGTCTTATTCCAGTAGAAGGGGTAGATGGTGGAATTGCAGGGAATACAGGCAAAACTTCTTTTACAACTAGCAGCATTTCTGATAACAATGTAACAACTGTTTCTAAAACAACATCAGTTCAAGAACTCCCATCATCTTCGTTGTCTTCTCTTGAAACATCTTTATCAACAACTGGCACTTCTGGAACTGTGATAGTAGATCCAACGCTTCCAATTGTAGACTCAGCAAATATAGCAAATGTTGTTACCTCTGAAACCGTGGATATCCAGCCAGATATTGTTCCATTTGTTGATCCCGTCCCTTCGGAACAAATTGGAATGTCTTCTACTAGCTCATCGTCAACTGTTGTCGATACATCGTCTTTGACAGAAGCTTCAACTCTATTAACAGGTGGCTCAGCTGGAGATAAGGTTTCTGTTGATACTGTGTTGGGCGTAACAGGAGAACCACAACTGCAAAACGCTTCATGGACAAATTATACAACGATCCGGGGTCCAGCTGGAGATTCCACCATAATAATTGAGGAAACAGTTGTTATTAAAAACATAACACAGCCAGCAAGTGAAGCAATCGTTGTTACAGAAGGTACTACAACGACACTAAATGAAACCCGATCATCAGAGAAGGCAAGTGATTTTCGCACAGTTGAAACTTCATTCACATTAGATGCAAACGGAGTAACAAGAGATTCTAGCTCTGGGGTTATTGTTGCAGAGAAAAGCCTAGATGGGGCAAAAGGTGGTGATATTGGTTTAAATAGTGTAAATAGTGAAAGTGCAGTTTCCACTGGAACACTTTCGACATCGTCTACTTCTTCTACTTCTTCATCAAGTTCAGTAACAAATCAAAACCCTGGCTTCGATTTTATTCTTTTGGACACAGGAAGAAATACATCACCACCTAAACCAAAACAACAAGTGGAGGAGATAATCACAACGGTAACTGAAGAAATCGTCGCCGCACCTGGAGAAAAAATAATGCCACAAACTAAAACAACAGTACAGGAAGATGGAACTGTTGTAACAGAAGTTATCGAGTACGTTGATGCTAACTTTGCAGATGGAACTATGACTTCTACAGATGTTACATCATCTGACACTTCCTTTACTTCCACAAAGGCGTCATCGTCTACTTCCTCTACAGGTACAGTTAACATTGCCAAACCGCGACAGCCAGGTCGTGTTATAAGTGGACCATCAGGTGTGTCTGGGAGTCTGGATATAACAAGTGGGGATCTTGCTGGAGGATCGTCTTTGTCCCTTACACCACCAGGTTTGAGTAGGCCGAATAATGCTATGTTGTTTTTCATCGAACCTGGTGTGACGTCAGAATCATCTTCCTCTCTTCAAACGGGAACATTGCAGGTTGGCGGGACAGAAGTAATTTCTAACACTGAAAACACTGTAACCAGTAGAAAAGGTGCTGAGACTTTCAACCTGCGTAACGTTGATACAAATTCCAAAGGGTCAAAAGAGTTCATTGAGAGACCAGGCACAGAAGTTGTAAAAACTGAGACTCGTATTGAAAAAATGTCAGGATCAACTGAAAACAAAAGCACTGGAGTAGGTTTTGGAGGATCCGTAAGTACTGGTGTGTCTACCAGCTCTGAAACTTCGGTAAATTCAGATAGAACAACTGGGGGGTTACTAACAACTGGTATAACAGGTGAATCTGTAAGCTCAGGGGGTAATGTGAGAAGTGGAATGACATTATCTACAAAAGAAGGTGGAGGAACTGTTAGTTCCAGAACTACAAGTGAATCTGTGAGTCAAGGCACTCCCATGAGAACTGGCGTGGGATTATCCAATCCAGTACTTTTCAACTCGGAACTGCTCGCTGCTAAAGCAATGGAAGCTGCTACAAAAGTCCCAATGGACACTAATTTAAACACAGGCGTTGTTGTAAATAACAAAGGATCACTCAGGCGAAAGCGTGCCGTGGGTGAAAGCCGGATGGTAGAACAAATCAATAACATGCTAGACGTTTTAACAGGTTATTTCAAAGAAACACACAATAAGACAGCAAACAATATTGTCAAAGCCCTTACAAAAATACACAAAACAAAAAAGGGTGATCCTTCGATGAAATTATTGAATATCACAGTTAAAACAAAACTACGAACTGTACCAGAATCTAAAAGCAAAAGTAAAAAGAAGACAAAAATATTTTCAGAGACCAATAAATTTCGGAGCAAAGAGAAACAGAGGGGAAAGAAGACAAAAATACCCTTGACAGAAAAGACTTCAATTATGTCAGTAGCCTCTACCAAAACAGAGGTTCAACCAGAAATGACGAAAACTTTAGAAACTACAAGGAAAGAGCAAATCGTTATACCCTCCCAGGACGTTAAAATATCACTGTCTCGATCCGTCACACCAACTGCAAGTGAAAGGGTAATTGAACAAATTAAGCAGGACATGAAGAGACAAAAGGAGTTGGAAGAACTTCGTCAACTCGAAACAGCTAAAGAAGCGACAAAAACTATTGATGTTTCAACGACAATCCAATCAGAGTCAGCACAGGCCCAAGTCTCGTTATCAGATCAAAATACTGATAAAATAACAGAAAAAGTTCCAGATACAACTATGGACCCTCTGTCTGTAGACACAACATACGTGTATGAATACGTAACACAAGAACCAATCACGGAAATTTTGTATCCGGAAACTACAAGACAAACAACAACAACGACTACTACTCTACCTCCTCCACCCAAGCCCGCCCCAACATCCCCTCTGGATAAAGCCCGCGTCGTTTTTGATCAAAGCAGAAAACCCCGCCGTCAACGCGTACCCCCGAAAACTCGAAAACAGAAATTAAGTGAACATGTGTCTCATAGACTAGCTTCATCAGAGGATTCCTCTCGAGTCCATACGGCCGGTCAGCTATCTAACTCCATTCCACACACTGATGTTCATGGAAGTTTGTCTCTGTCCAGGAACGATAACCGAAAGACAAATATTATGTCGAGTCTGTCAGGAACACTGCAGAGTCATCAAAATTTCAATCATCTTTCACAGAAGACGGATATGAACTATGTTCCAACACAAGGCAAGATTGGCTGATGCATCAAATGTTTAGATGAGTTGTATATATATATAACATTAATATTAAAATTGAACAAATTAAAAACTATATAAGGCGATGTTATGGTTTTAATTTAATTTTGCATGCATAAATGTGTTACGTTTTACGCCTTGTATACTTGCATGCAGAATGACTAATTGTCTCTTCCGGTATATTGTTTTTGTTTGTCTTTGTGGGAAATTTATTTCATCAAGAATATTTGTTTCTTGTTTACGTCTAACTGTTTATGTATGATGGCTAACACAATAATCGTTTGTAATTCTGCATTGGGTTAATTATCTGTTATCACAGGTAGCGGCATTACTACAGATATAGTGATGAATTGTTTTATTATTTATTCACTTTTGCATTTTCTTTTAATATTTATTCCTGTAGACTCATCCAATAATACAAATGTAACAGTAGATGAGCTAATAATAGCGAATACAACTGTAAATCTGGACATTAACACTTCTACTACTACTTCCACTACTACCAGTACTACGTCACTTCCTACGACGGCTGCGCAAAGCGCCCTACCTGATCCAATTCCAATGGCATATAACGATTTATCTAGCCCAAGTATTTACTCACGTAATGTTTTTTGTCACGATCTCTATTACAATCATGAAGAAACAGTATAAATCATAAAAACTCTCATTGAAATCGATCTCCAAACAATGAAGCCAGCAGCTGAGAGAATGAGAAAATAATTTTTTTAAGGGTTAATGTAAATTGATAAAATCTTGTAAATAATTAATAAGGTAGCTTAGATTTTATGTAATTGTAATTACCTTAAATTCTTCAATATATTTACATTTTTTTCATTTATTCACCTTTTATCTGTTCTTTACAGCATCGCCATCCAGATCGTCCTCATCGTCACGTCTTTCACTTTCTTCCTCAAGAAGTAAGATTCCTAACTAACAGAAACCTATCACTCTCTGTTACTTATGAAAATCAGAGAGGAATATGCAATAATTACCTGTGAACCTTAATTCCTAAAAGAAATAAAATTAATAATTTACATCCTACAGTTGCCCAAACCTTTTTCTATAATGTATTGAGAGTTTCTGTTTTGTTTTCTATTTATAGCTCGTGATGCGACCTTGACAGGATTAGGTCAGGGACAGGGGTTATCTGACTCATACGGTAAGCAATGTACAGGTTCTCGAACAAAGCCAATAGGACCTGTATCAAGTAACTGTGATTCAAACAAAACATTGCTATTTAGTGACAAAAATGAAAAATAGCAAATTGATGATGGAATATTCATAATCTTGAAGAATATGTTTTAAAATACAATTGAATAATGATTCATCAGTAGTAACTAGTAACAAAATTTACTGACTTTTACATTAAAATTCATTTTATCAATATATTTTTGGATATTCCGTCTTTTGACAAAAGCGTAGCATTGTTGATTAATCAGATATTCGTTATAAACGTTATTTTTATTCACTTGTTTCTTATGACATGATTAGTAATTTCTGAGTGCAGATGACCTGTTTTACTTCTAGGATATTTTATCTAAAGTTGTGTTCAAATTTAGCTGTATTTGATATAAAGTAATCATGAAATGATTTTTTTTTCAGTAATAATATACATAACATGTTGTATAGTCAATACCTGAAATACTTGCATCGTTTCCAGGGCTTTATATTTGATGTTCCTAGATCAGGTTATGGGTTTAACAGTGTTAAGATAACACTAATAAGATTTTAATGTTCAAGGCAGAACAAAATGTTGTAAGGTTAATTGCTCTCAACACTTTGCTTCTAATGTGTAGATAATAATTCCCAGAGCTTCTAAGACATAACTGTCTAGCATTGCACATCTTAGTTTGCGCATGCGTATATGTATTAAATTTTAACAGGAGCTAGCATTGCTAAATTTGCAGATCGGACTATCGCCTATAAATGTTATTTGTTATAAGGCATGCGCATTAAACACAATCTCCTTGCTGAAAAATAAGGGCAATAAAACAGATATTTTAACAATAAGTCAAACTTTTTTCTAAGGATACGTATATTGGAATTCCGAACCCGATTATAATAAAGGTTATTTGTTTCAGGGGTAGCTTCCACCAAACAAACTTCTCAATCGAGTGGAAGTGGTATGCCGGACAATGCTATGAGAGCTTTTCTAGGTTGGTTTTGTATTTTACTTTTACATATGTTAGCTATACATAATTGTATACTTACTGTTTACAGATTATGTGTGTTGTTCATTTATCAACATACTTATCCTAAAATACCATAATTGTATTTTCATATATTATCCTAAAATACCATCATTGTATTTTCATACATAATAATTCCTTTCACTTGAATAGTAGAATTTATTTTTATCTGATTGATACATTTGAATGTAACTTTCTTTCAGCTGTTCTGTCCCCACAACAAAAACTACAATTGCAAGGTTTACTCGGAGGTATGTATCATGATATATTTGTTTACTCGGAGTTATTTACTATGATATGTTTGTTTACTCGGAGGTATGTATCATGATATATTTGTTGCTAAGATCTTGTAAACTTGTAAATGTAAAGCCCCTTCCCTCTTCTTAAATTTTTTTAAGGTATATCTTTCTATGTATGCAATGGATGGGATAGCGGGTAATAAGTTAACGTAGACTTCTACATAATTGTATAATATCTGTTTTTTTCTAAGTATACCAGTGCTGAATAAAATATTGGTCTGAATTAAGTTTTTTTTCGTCAATTTATGTCATACTTTATTATTCAAATAAAGCCCTTCATTCATTTCTGTAAGAATATTGAAAATTATTACCAATTTCGACAAGATATTTTTTTTCTTTACTGTAATTCAACTTGTCGCTAATATCTGTAATTGCATGTCTTTTACATTAATAAGACCTTAGCAAGACAACAGATGTACTTTTACCATTTATCTTTAAGCCTATCAGAGTTTATAAAAAACGGAAGTTTATGTGTTTACTTCCTTTACTTAGGTGGTGGAGCCAATGCGTTTCAGGCACCACCAAGGAGGCGCCCTACAACAACCACCACCACCACAACTACTACCACAACACCACCACCGACCGTCCAATCACAGCCCGACTTCACTGCGCTTGCCCAGAAAATGATGCAAAGTCTGAGTAAGTGAACTCAATATCATCATTATTTGCCACATAGTTACATTAAACTACCCATTTACTGTTACGTGATGAAAACAGCGCAACAATGGTTAGAGATCAAAGGGCTTGAAGGGTGTAAACGTGTGTTTATTATATATTGTACGGGAAATAACATAAAGTGAGGAGTGAAAAGTGAATGTCTTTTGAAATGGAACTAAGGAAAAAGCATTGTGCAAACACACAAATAATTTGTTTACCAGTTTACAAAAACAATGTCTTTTTCTACAGACTCTAAGAATTCCCCTACACAAGATCAGCTACAACAAATGATGGGTAACTAGTCTTAGACCTCTGTGTTTTGTCCGTATTCGTGCTAACAGTGTCTTTCATTAATAAAGCAATTTTGAAGTTGTTGATCATAAAATTTTGTCTTTTTCTAATGCTTTTTCTGTTCGGGATCAAAGAATTGGTGGACAAATTCAGTAAATGTAATAGTGCCTTTTTGATTAGAGCTATGAATTCTTTTACTCTTAAATCTTGGGAATAAGGTAAACATATTTTGAGATTAAGGTATATGTTCTTGCACAGCCTCTTTAGGTTCCGGTTTACAGGGTGAAGGTAAGTATTCGAAGTAACTGCTGCGGATATTTTAACAGTGGAGAGTTTAAACACTCCGTGTACTTATATTTGAATAAAATCTTACTTCATAAATACTAATATAGAACAATATAATATTTACGTTAATAAAATTGATATGGAATCAACGGATATATTTATAGTCGAGGTTTGTACACTCACAATGAAAACATTTTACTCAAAATGGCATCAAGTCATCTGCAATTATATTTACATTACTTAAAAGCGCAATATTGTAATAGATGTTTGAAAAAGGACGATAACTCTTCCACATGCATATGTAAGCTCTTTCTACGTTATATTTTTTGTTGGTTTAGATTTAATACTCATGAATCAAATTAATGATCGATAAGACAAATTAATAGATAGTGACTCGATTGCTCAAGTCATAAAGAATATTTTTATGACCCTCCATTATTGCGCTTTTGATATCATCAACGTTCCATCTTTGGTAAAGGTGCATTTTAAGAGAGAAATGTATGACTTTTGCTTAATGCTTCAGAGCCAAGTCAATAATGTTATTACGATTTTTTATATAAACCTTTGGCTTGTATAATTGCATTTTACACTTGAATAGTAAATTTTGTTGTACATTTTACATTGCCACTTATACTTCTTACAAAATTAAATATTGCATTTTTGTACCTCTTTATTTTGTAATTCGGTTCTGTAATATATGCGGTAACATTTTCTTCTTTTTTTAGGGATGGGTTCGGGTGGAAACCCCCTCAGTCAATTAATGGGTAAGTATCCCTCAAGTACTCCTCAACATCTGTTTCTACAGAGATTTATTAGTCCCCTACCGGTGAAACCTGAGGGGACTATAGGTTTCCTCTGAGTCTGTCTGTCCGTCCGTCTGTCTGTCTGTCCCTCTGTCTGTCTGTCCCTCTGTCTGTCTGTCAGTCTGTCCCACTTGGTTTTCCGCACTTTTTTCCTAAACGCTTGCAGATATTGAGCTGATTTTTGGTATGTAAGTGTATCTTGATGAGATACAGATTAAGTTTGCATTCCGTTCCGCTTCATTGATTTTTGATGGAATTACGGCCTTTTCAATTTTTAAAAGTTTTCCGCAATTTTCTTCTAAACGCTTTCAGATATTGAGCTGATTTTTGATATGTGACTTTACCTTGATTAGTTATAGATTAAGTTTGCATTTCGTCCCGCTTCATTGATTTTTGACGGAATTATGGCATTTTCAATTCTTAACGGGAACCAGATTACACTTGCCGGTAGGGGACTAGTATTGCTAATGCAATACTCTCAGAATGCTTGTTTTTTTCATAATTATATCATAATTAACTTACAGAGAAGGATTACATTTCTAAATGGACGTTTTATTTAAATTTATCAATTTGTTATATACATTTTTCATGTATTCATTTATTTATTTAATTTACATCTACTTATTTATTATTTTATATTTATTTATTTATGTATTTTGTGTTTCTTTTAAAAAAGAGTATACATCATTATTTGAACGTTTAATTTTATAGTTATTTTCTTATATATTTAAAATGTATTTATTTATATTTTTCTCTGTAGCATCCATGGGCGGTGGAAATGGTGGGGGACAAGGTATATTTTCTAAGAACTTCCATAAATAATCAGAAATTATTTTTTTAATAAAATCTGGAAATAAGATATGAAAATAAGAGCAAGTAGAATTAAATTTACTCCAGTCAGAAATAACTATGTATGGTAACTTTTCAGGAGAGTCCAGCAGTAGCGGAAATAGTGGGAGACCAAGTCGATTCAACGATCCAATGAGTAAGTCAATATTAATCACAAGTTAGTCTATACTAAACATAAGTCGATACAATGAGTTGGTGAAAATGTTTTATAAGTCAGTTTGTCAAATTGGTCGAAGACAAACGTTTTTAAATTATACTTATTTATTTTTATTCAACATTTCTTAATATATATATATATATATATATATATATATATATATATATATATATATATATATATATATATATATATATACATATATATATATATATATATATATATATATATATATATATATATATATATATATATATATATATATATATATAGTATGTAATTATTTGATACAACATGCCAACATGATGACTCTTAGAGAAGAAAATAAGAGGGAGTAGTCTGTTTGAATCAAACGTTTTAGCTTGATTATGATACAGAATTCTTTTATCCTTCTTGTAAGTTACCAAATTTGTTGATAATTTATAATTTTTTCATGAAAAGAATATTTTGTAAAATAAGTTGCATTATTATATTGATTCTAATAAAAACCATTTGACCTCATTTGTCCATACATTTTTATTTAGGTATGGGAATGGCCGGAATGAGTAAGTAACGTAAAAATATATTTTCCTTTTCTTATCAGTTAATGCATATTTAGACATAATCTTCACAAGTTCAATGTTAAGTTAAAATTTCAATGTTTGTATTGTGTCAGTCGTAATATATGTATTATTTCTACACAGATCCAATGATGCGAAGAATGATGATGAGAAATATTCGCATGGGCAGTAAGCATCCAAAGTCTTGAAGATTCTAAGCTAGAAATCTTCATTTACATAATATTCCTTCATGTTTAATGTTTCATAATTTAAACACTTGATTGACCTTTTTCTGATATGCCAATGGCATTCTTCGTATTGAATTTATTGTACAGTGCTTCTCTTATTACATATTAATTTTACATTGAATGCTGTTATAACTACAGATACTGCCACTGACCCCGGTGAGGTTCCTGAACAACCCAATCCTGGAGAGACAGGTAAATAGATCGTTTGCTATATTTAGTTTACCTCTTAACTTTTATTTTCTGCGTGGTGATAGTCAAAGTGATCAAGACTTATGAACTTTATCTTTTTTTCTTTAAGGAATGGGAATGAACCCACTTATGCTAATGGGTAAGATATTTCAATTCTATGTGTACGAAGCACGGTTTACAGTTTCTTATAAAACGTTAACGTTTCTCTGCATTCAGTTGCAAAATACATTTGCTAAGACATTATGATATAGTCCTCTAATCACAAATATACATTATACTATATAATGGAATTGTATAAACAGATTGAAAAACTTTATTAATTTCCAAAATTTAAGTTTACCTTGTTACATGACTCAGTGCTAACTTACTTGTATATCCACATGTTCATGGTGTAATGAAATACCAAAGCTATAATTCGTATATTGTACAGCTTTGGGAGGTGCCGGAGGAGGATCCAGCGGGGGCGGTGGACTGGCCAGCCTTCTCTCTGGAGGACTCGGGGGTGGAAGCGGCGGTGGTGGTACGTAACAATGATAATGGCGTCCTTTAAGACAGCTAAAACATCAATTTGAGAAAGATTTGAGAGAAAAAAATATTTATTTTTTCTACAATATGGTTGTACAAATAATGATCAACTTTAATAACATAAAAATGATGTACCACATAGAATTTTATGTATATTTCAAATGAGAGTAAAATATCAAGTTTTAATGTGCAAACGTAGGACTTGCGTCCCTCCTCGGTGGTGGTGGAGGCGGTGATATGATGTCAGCCCTGGGAGGGGGCGGGGGAATGGACATGGCAGCCATGGCGCAAGCAATGAGCATGCTCGGCGGAGGAGGAGGCGGCAATGCTGGACCTGACGCAGGGTCAGCGAGTGAAGCATCATCTCCAAAAGCATCTTCATCTTCGTCTAGAAAATCAAACAAAGGAGGTGCGTCTTAGTTAAAGTTCAATTGAATTGATGTACCCTTTTGTAGTTTTAGATTTGTAGCTAGTGCATGTTGAACATTATGTCTTTTTAAGTACAATATACAACACTTGAATCAACAGCGTCCAAATCGTCATCTTCTAAGTCCAGTAGTACCGGAACCGGAAATGCAGAGCCAACTCAAGCACAGGAATCAGGTCTGCTTGTCTTCCTGTCCTTTGTTTTCTCTAACAAAACCAACGTTTTTTTCTTTCTTTAAATTAAAGTAAAATTTGCTTTCGGTCATTTTTCTATTCATTAAGATAAATTATACATATACATGTATATTAAACTTGATATGAACTTATTTTATATATATTTGAAAGTCTTAAGGAATATATCATCTAAAAATGTTTATTATATGTTTATTGTCATACGGGTTTTTTTAAGGTGGTATGGATTCCATGATGGGTGGACTAATGGGAGGAATGAGTAAGTATAACCCAAACAAAACCTTACTCTTGTTAACTATTCTTAACTATGGCATGTACTTTAATACTGATGTACTATGAATTTGAGAACTTTTTTCTTTGAGATTTAAAGCCTTGGTTTCTCTGAAATTCCATATCAATTATGTAAATCTTGGAAATAATATGTGAATATATAAGAACTTTTTTCCTGTAAATATCAAAACTACGAGTTAGAATCGTGGAAAATGGAATAAAATATAACAGTGAGTTGTTAAGTCATATAAAAATAATTTGATGTACTATTGTAAAAACATGTACTAGTATACGTTAGTAAACTTTATTTAACTACAATGCATTTTTTGGCAAATATTCTATAGAATTGAAAAATGAAGATTATTTAGGGCAAGTCAGTTTACTATAAACCTCATAGGCTTCTATCAAAATGTTGTCATTCGAATAAATTCGCAATGCTTCCCTTTTGAGCTTAATTTATTCTAAAGTTGCCATTTCTTTCAAGTTACCTAAGCAATAAAATTGTTCCTTGCAAAACTCTGTCTGTCTTCCATCGTCGGATACCCACGGATGATCTAGTCTTTTACTCATGAGCCGTGGGCAAACTCGTTGAATTATCGTCGTTAAATATGCAAATTTGCCGATTATACACAATCAATCACTCTTTAATTTTATAAATACGTTTTTTAGTTTGCTATTTATAATAATATGGTATCGTACGTTTAAACGTGCGAATTTTGTTCTAATACGATAAAAGACATGTCGTACAGGTCACTGGCATCATATACAAGTCAGGAATAATGTAGGGGCACCTTTCTCAAATTGGGAAATACACCGGAAATTTCATTACTTGCAATCGGTGTGTTAACCACATAAAAGTTTTTGTTATTGCCGAACATACGTACGTATGGTAAACTGTGATTCGTTGACTTGCCATCGCGACTCTGTGCAGCAACCAATCAAATGAGCCGCGCATATTAATTACATACGACTATATTTCGGCGAGTTTGGCCACGTGTGATGAGAAAAAGACTAGATCAACCGTGGGTATCCGACGATGTCTGTCCTCGTGAAACTTACGAGAATGACAATTGGTTAACAGTTTGTTAAAATTTTACTTTTACTATGATTTATTTTTTTTTTATGTTTAGACCCCTTGGCAGCCATGATGGCCGGAGGAGGCGGGGGAGGAATGGGAAATTTGGGAGGTAGGTACAAGGAGTATCTCATATAAATCCACAATGTTTACACACCACTCACTCTTTCAAAAAGATAATATTTTTTTGTTTGTTCAATGCCCCTTCAAGAATTATTCGCTCACATTGAGACACCACCTCTTGCCGGTGGAGGGCTGCAAATTTAGTCCTTTTCGGCGCTTAGAGCCATTGAGCAGTGAGGGTTCTTTTTCGTGCCGGCACCTACTGCGACAAGGGAACTCGGTTTATACAATCCAAAGGATGGGTCTCCACATCATACAGTGGATTCAAATCCACGACGTAAGGATCAAGTCTTTACTCCGCGACTATCCAGCATACGCTCTGATTACTACACCACGCGGGGGACCAAACAGATAATAAAAACCGTTAGAAATCCCCTGCCCTGTATATTTTTCTAGCTTTTCTGTACGGTATCATTTAAAAAAAGGATTGGTTACAATCCATACTTGATACAAAAATCCGTTTACAATAAAAATGTGATCTGACACTTACAGAGAGTTCTGCAGAGTGGGGCTATTATGATTGTATGTAGGTCATAATAAAAAGATAATGCAACATTTTATGTGTTGGAAGTTCCCGGAATCATGAAATCGAGTCCACTGTCACAATGTCGATGAATTTCTAAAAAAAAAATGGAATTTGTAATGATTTGAAATTAAATCAAGCAGAATTTGTTCCTCAAACTACAAAGTTTTAATTTCGATAGACATATTGTAGTCCTAGAGCCATGGCTCTTTATCACGTACATGGCCTGAATATTTTTTTTCCTTTTTTTTTTGTCGATGCTGAAGCATTTTTATTAACATATTTCCTTCCCTTCTCTTTGCAGCTTTGGCAAGCATGATGGGTATGATACTACATATAAAATATTCCAGTTTATGGCCCGGATCCAGGAAATTTTGAAGTGTGTTCCGAGTTAAATGTCAACAGGCTACTCAAAAAATAATCTTTAAACAAGTTCTGTATGTAGTAGAAATCAATGACGGACAAGCGATTTCACTATTTTAATTCTTTTTCCCTTTAATTTTATTGGAGAGGGGGGGGGGGGGAGGGGAATAGCAAGTCTTCCTGGATCCGCCACTGGATTGTAAAATCTTATTCAGAACAATTTTGTATTTTTAATTTTGTTAACATTATCAAGAGCCTTATTTCAAGTTTGCTAAACATATTAAAACAGTAATTTTGTAATATAAAATATCATATAAATGCCATTTTTAAGGGCTGAAGTAATATGTAAATTCTCTACTTTCTGTTTCCTAGGTATGGGAGGTGGAATGGGAGGACTAGGAGCCCTGGCAGGTAAGGAATCTGGATTTCTACTTTCATTTTCTGTTTGCATCCAATAATAATCAAAAGTGTGTTCAATTAATCAATGCTGATAATGAGTTATTGAAAATACCTGTAAGTTACTGTCGGCAAAAATTCTTTATTTGTTATTTTGATTGATTAAGTGTATCAATTAATTTATAAAAATTGTTAAATCTTTTTTTCAGCACTGGGCGGAGATTTACCTGGTAAGTAACTCAAGCAAAAAGTTAAAGCTGTCTTGATAATTTTTATCTGTTCTGGCACAAATTATCACATTCCTTGTATATTGAACTTAATAATTTATACAAAGAACAATTACATGTAGTACTTTTTTCTCTATTTATAAATGCACAAATTGGTGACTTAATGTGGCATTATTTTTTATCTGTGTAAAACAGATATGCCGTCAAGGGGAGGTAAGCGACGTAGTGCTACTAACAAAGTAACCATCCATGAATACTCACTAATAAACATATATCTGTGTATAACTCATTTATCAAGCCAATTTCACTAGAAATCTGATCCATCTGGGCTTTGTCTGCAATAGAAACACCATCATTGTTAAATAGTGATATTGTTTATTTTCCTTTTGTTGTTTAGCAGTTGCTTCACTTTTTTAAATCTCTATTTTATTAAACATATTCATTTTAAGTGTGAACATCATTAAAAAAGCGGAATTCGTAGAAATTATTGATGAATATATTCTCAAAAATGGTATTTGTATTAAAGGAATGATGGGCGGTCGAGGTAAGATAAAACTGGGATTTCATACACAAATGACGTCAATGTAGACGCGCAGTATTTGCATGAAATTAGCTAGAGTAAATTTTGTATGTATTATTCCGCCTCTTTCAATAACATTTACTACTATTATAAGGCCCTGTATTACTATCTATAGTTTTCTTAAAGCCTACATATCTAATAATTGCCCGTACGTCAGAAAATTATAAACGAGTACACCAACTGTACTTCCGATGAAGGAACAGATGCAAAATGGAGCATAAAAATTTCCGCTCGTGATTCTTTCCTATTCTGACGTAATCTTAAAATATGACATTTTTTAACGATTAACACGTGAAAGTGTTATCCCGCAAAAAATCATTTGATCCGAGGCGAAGCCGATGTCAACAATGGTTTTTCAAGGGATAACACATGTTATCATATTATGTTTCACATGTTATCCTAAAAAAGATTTTTTTATACTGAATGTATTTTGAATGCATATACAGGAAAATGTCACTGTGAACCGTACGCGCAAACATTCTACGGAGTTAACAATTTTTATACTGTTACCCGTCGTCATGTATTCTCAACCGTTGCTATGTAATGTTACCCGAAGGGTGTGGTTTATGTACGTGGTAGAGTGCCTTTTAACAACTGTTTTTAAACCAATCAAATTTGGTTATTTGATATGAAAATACAACAGATTAATTTAGAAATTTTCCTTAATAGATAAACCATAAATACATATTTACAAAACATAGAACAATTTGGTTGTGCAAAGATAAGTAATGAAAAATGAAGGTAACGAACAGTAATTAAAGTCAGAAATTTATTGAAACAATACAAATTGTGTGCAGAGAAAACTCCCAAAGTAAAAGTAAGTGAAAGTCACCACAGTGCAGGGGTAATGAAATTGTACTTTGTACTCTATCATATTACATGTAATTGTGAAGTTACGCAATAAAATAGCAATTTAGACAATTATTTCTGATTTTTTTTAACACTGTAATTACTTTGAATCCGGACATACACTGTACCTCTTCCAATATATCGATTAACAAAAAAAAAAACATTGTCCAGTCTGATATTTGTTGCTTGTCATATATGTCATTAATAATCATTTACAGGTGGTATGGGTGCTATGGGAATGAATCCAATGGCTGCCTTAATGGGAGGAATGGTTAAAAGATCCACACTAAACACTAAAACAAGCGACGCTGGCCGATCCCGGAGACGAAACACAGACTTCACAGTAGGAGGAAGAAAGGATCCAGTGCCTGTAGATCTGTTTTCTGCTTCGTTCACACCCGTAAAGAGCCATATTACCGGAAGTTCTGTAGCCATCGGACGAGGTGGAGCAGTCACAGATACAGCTTCTCAAAAAGGTTAGTTTAATGCTTGAAAAGTTAGATATGAGATATCACTTTATCACTTGATTATGCTTGAACGTTTACAATTCATTCAAACTAGTTGAAATATTCAAAATTTGTTTCCTTTTTAAAGTTTAAACTTCAGTCATATGAAAGTCATTTATAATGGCATGTTGGATAAAGTCCCATTAAATAAATATATAATATCTCATATTGCAGCAATACCTCCACCAGATCCGTTCAGAAACTCAAGGATACCCACCAAATCTACACCATTTGAAAAAATCCACTATCAAGAACCGCCTAACTCAAAAAGAATGAGGAATACGCCACTAGAGGTCACATTCCACCAGAAAACTGCACAGTCTGCTACAAACACCTTAGAAAAAGTTGTTCCTCAAATGCCCGTCAATAACAAGGCTGCAGCGACGTCACCTTGGAATAACCCAGCCACAGTCCAAAATACCTTGAACGCTTGGCCTGGAGGCAATAATATGGCTGTTACAACAACAGTAGCGCCACCTACAATTACTACTGCTCCACCTGTCATCACGACAGCAGGTTTGACTCAACTCTAGGCCCTACTTTTCGTGTAGCTTTATGAAATTACGAGCGGGAGTTTAAGAAATTTGTAGATTGTAGTTTTCAGTTTTTTGCAAAACATAAGATTTACACCTAAATAACTCTATACATTCTATAGATATAAATTTGTAAGCCTTCTTTAAAGACATAAATATATATAAAAAAAATTCTCCGAATATTTATAAATACTACTTAATCCATTTCTCCATTCCTTTCCCCTCGAATGAGACCTTAAAAACATACAATCAATCAATCATTCTTTTTCCTTTCAGACGCCTTCTTCGGACTGACACCTAACAACGCTGCCGATCAGATGTCTCACATGGGATTCCTAATGAACCCAATGCCGACTCAGACACAGGCATTCGGTGCCAGCAACATGTTCGGCATGGGCGGACTTTCTGAGATGGGACTAGGTAAAATAAACGTGTTAAATACATCGTCTTTATTCGCAGTAATACTTTCATTGTGTAGTTTTTTATTGTTTAGTAGGTATTTGAAGTATTCTCCTTATGCCCTTATGCTCTTAGTTATTTTTTAATACAAAATAATATGCATTCCACACATTCAATAGATTTTTCTCTTGTAGTTTTATTTGTAATAATTCTTTGTGATTTCATACTTTTTATTGTTAAAATCCAAGTAATGCTCATCTAAAAATGTAGGTACAGATCCACTTCCTACGACTGGATTTAACGATCACAGGTCTATGATGGGCGGAACAGGAAGTATGGGAGGTCAAATGTCAATGATGGGAGGAACAGGAGGCATGGGTGGCACAGTTCCGGGATCCCCTGCCGGTGGAGCCAATTCCTTCAACCAAATGTTATCAAACGGTGCTAACACTGATCTGCTTTTTGCCAGCATTGGTGAGTTTTAATTTTTCAACTAAGGCTGAAATTTCTTCTTCAAGCAAGTAAGCTTTTTGTTGGAAAAATTTAGGCATCCGTTGTCCCTAAATTTTTGTGTTTAAATTCATTTTCTTATGTACCACAGAATGATACTATTTTGAAAGTATTTTCAATTATCTTCTTCTAGGCTTATTTTTATGTGCAATTTTCTTTTTTTCAGGTCTAATTCCAGATCAAATAGGTAATATACTTTTCTTAACTGAAAAAAAAATATACCCGTTGTTCTTAATGGAAGTAAGCATTCAAAGCTAGTTTGCATTTTCACGACAAATTATCTGTTTTCTATTTCAAGCCTTCAAATTGACAAAAAAAAAACAAAAAACAAAAAACAAAAAAAAAACCAAAACAAAACAGTATTTTCAAATACAGCTGTATAGTTTACAAATGAAACATTCCATTCTGCAATATTTAGTAGCTATGTTGATGATTTATACGTTTGTCTTGTAGCCGATATTATGGGAGGAACCTCACGCATGGCATGTAAGTTTAGAATCAAAATCGAAAGTACAAATCGAAAATAGACCAAAAAAGTATGATTTATAACTTGTACATCGTTAAAAAAATCTCCTTAAAAAAAAACATACATTTATAGATCTCTTATCTAATATGATTTTTATTGATTTTCAGCCTCGATGCCCATGGACATTAAGAGTAAGTAATGACGTTCACTCAAAATTATTCATAGTCCGGCTTTTTTCCAGAAATGGTACACCTTGCTATGTACAAATAACGCCCTTCGATTAATCCTAACAATTTAAATAGATGTTCAAATTCTATAAAGTTACGAAAAGATATTATATGACCTGTAAAGTAGCAAAGAACTGCGAAGGATAGTATTGTTCTCCCGCCTACCTCCAAGTCAATTTTCAAAAGTTAACACATTTGAATGATTTTTCATATCTATATAGATATTTCTATGAATTTTCATAAAACATTACTTTTTTGGGAAAACAAAGAGAGAGAACTCTAAAATTTTGGTAAAACTTCACTATAGAAATCAACGGAAAATGGAAAATATCTTTAAAACATCCCCCCCCCCCCCCCCGAAACAAAAATTCCTTTTTACAGGTAATGTGGACTGGCATTTCACAAATTCATACCAAAGCTTTTTGTGTTTCACGGGGGGGGGGGGACATAAGTTTACAGACAAAAAACTACAAAAATGCTTATTTTTTCACCAATTCCAAAGGGGTTAACAACTAAAACATTGTATTCTATTAATAATATATGTTTAATTTTATATGAGTAAAACATAAGAAAAAGATTCAAGGAACATTTATTCATATCCAAGAATATTTTAAAATGTGGTGATGCTTTAAGGCCCGATTTCAATGAAAAATATCGTCTACCCCCCTTATTCAAAGAGCTGGAATTAGGGGTAATTAACTATTTAACACTGGAAATAAAATTATCAGTCAATTTCCATTGAACAACTGTTCTTTGCATTCAACAAAGATTTTACGGCCAAATTGCCATTAGTATTGAATTAAATGGGTGTAAAATGTAGGCGGAAATCGAGAGTTAGCGTGCGTATTTCTTAAACCACAGTGAGTTTTTGTTAACTTTAAAAGATTCTACATTTAGCGTTTTGCATAAATAATTTTTATTTATTGATTGATTGATTTATTTTTACTTTAAGTGGACAATGTTAGAAATAAAATCTGAATAATTATTCGGAATTTCTTAATAATAATTCAGTCTCCTTAGTATTCTTGCTTGGACAACGTATCATGTCAAATATCAAGCATGAACATTTAGTGTGACCTTAACCTCGACACTGCTAACCATTTTTCCCCCAAAATGGACCCTGTAAAAAAGGACATATTCTGACCAAAAAATATGATTATTTGGTAATTTTGTAAATTAATATGTGCTAAAGATATGAAATCTCTTCAGTTTTTTTTTTGGGGGGGGGGGGGTTAGGCCATTGGCTTAAAATATTCAAAATTTGGGGGGGGGGGGGTCTCTTTCATCCAATTTATGAAATATATATATTCAATCTTTCTTTTGTTTCTTTCAGTGAGGGCTATCCAAATGAGACAAGGTAATACATCGTACTAGTATTTTATGATTTTGATTCTGATCACCTTAAGGGCTATCAAATCGAGCAAACACGGAAAAACATTTAGTTTTCAAAAAAATAAATCTATGTTGTGTACTGAAAGTTGAAGAGATAAGGGGGTTATCTTGAATTCAAAGAAACACAAAGTATTTTCATAGGAAGTTGTAAACAAACAAAATAAAAAGTGATACATCTTTAATTTTTTTGTTAAATTTTACATATCAATAAATGAATTAAAATATGTTTTCTTTTCATTTTAGCTGGAATGACACCGGATCAAATTGGTTTGTATCTCTTATCATTACTAATTTCTCATTGAACTTAAATGTATAAAATGGGTTATGACATCTAATCCTTTACGTAAATACAGCTGTATACTCTACATGGCATTGTTTATATATGCATTTTAATTATTATCTAATTGCACATAGGGTTTTTCAAAGGGGCTTAGTCTAGTGACCGGTAGTAAAATTCAATTAGCGGACGACAATTTGATTCTGAAGGGGGGATGGAGGACTTGCAAAATTTTTTCGAGTTATTTTTTTTTTTCACAAAAATAATTTTGCAAGCAAAACATAAAATGAAGAGGCCCTTAGTATAATTCAACCCTGGAAAGGGATCCAGAACAATTAATAAGTATACAATAAAACAAAATTAACTGATAAATGAAGATATGTAGTTAGTTTATCTGCTAAATCCCAGGAGCAGAGGAGAAGATTTTCAAATAATTTATGCATTTTCACTATAAAATTTATAGAGTCCTGCCTTCACACCAGAATCCCAGACCAAGGTGCCATGAGATTTACAATTTTGAAAGAGGCACCTTGCTCGTTATAACCATGCACTTAGTTTGTTTGCTTAATATCAAGGAACAGAAGAAGAAGCTTTCAAAAGAATTTATGCATTTTCACTACATAAATAATAGAGCCCTGCCCCAGTTGCAAAACCACAGATCCAGGTGCCTTGAAATTCACAATATTGGAAGAGGCAACCTTACTCATTATAACCATGCACTTAGTTTGTCTACTTGATACCCAGGAGCAGAGCAGAAGACTTTCAAAGAATTTATGCATTTCCATTATTTGATCAATAGAATCCTATCTATTTCCCAAACCCCTGAATTTGGGACCATGAGCTCCACATCATTTTAGGTAAAGGTAGGCTTGCTTTTTAAAAGCATGCATTAAGTGTGTCTACATTTGTACCCCGGAGCAGAGAAGAAGATACAAGACTTTCAAAAAATTAATTAATTTTCACTATGTGGTTAAAGAGCCCCACTGAACGCCAGAACCCTGGGGCTATGAATTTCAAACTAAGGTAGAGGCATTCTTGTTCATCATACCCATGCTCTTAGTTTGTTTGCTTAATATACAGAAGGGGGTTCAGAAGAATTATTGCATTTTCACTACAGGATCAATAGAGCTCCGCCCTAGCACCAGAACCCTTATCCAGGGGCCATGAATTTATTAAAATATTGGCGGAGGGTTCTCTACTTATTACAATCAGATAGCAGTATTCTGGAGTAAAGAAGATATATGAAGATTGCATGAATTGATGTTTTTTGCCCGACCCCTAGGGCCTCTAGGGGTGGGGGTGGAAGAGATCTTTTGTCCCCTTTTGCCCATTGATGCTATATACCAAAATTGGTTGAAATTGGTTTAGCGGTTCCAGAGGAGAAGCTGAAAATGGTGAAATGTTAACAGACGCCTGACCACGCATGCATGCCACGGACGAAGACAGATCGCAATAGGTCATTTGAATGGCTCAGGTGACCTAAAAAAATGCCAAACTCCAAAACTTTATTTCATGCGGAAGGAGGGAGGATATAGATCTAGTACTAGGCAATGACAGATTATTCATTTTCTTTCCAGTTGAAGACACTTTATTTATTTTCAACATTTTCGAGGACAGAATATTTATTTCCAAAATGTGCCAGCCCCCCTCCCCTCAGAATCAAATGGTTGTCCCCTTAAACCATATTTATGAGGACATGGATGATTTAAAATAAAAAAATATATCTTCATATACTCGTATGAACGCGCATTTAGCAATTAGTTTTAACAGAGAAAATTTTGTGTAGGTTACATATGAAAAATCTTCTAAATATTTGTATCCAATTTAATTTTCATTCTTCTTGGAGTTCCGAACTTGGAAATTTTGGATGTGTTGGATATGTATTCATTACCCCCTTGCTTTTTTTCAGCCGACAATCTCGGAGACGTAATGCAAGCAAGAAGTAAGTTTTAATATCAAAACATCTTAACAATTTATATCTAAATTATTGAACCATGGTTAGTTTTTATTTTTGTTCCAACATTTGTAATTGGTTTATATTGTTGAATCAAAGATTGATATTTATATATTTTTTTTTACTAATCTTTTACCTTAGGAGCACAGATGAAAATGGCTTCTAGAAGTAAGTTTGAAGGCATACACTTTATGATGTCATAACTTCATCACTCTCTACCGTCGGTTCATACATTCACCTCTGTCGTTGGCTCGCGTATATCGCAGTGTTAAGCACAGGAAATAGTGCGTTTGTTTTAATTCATTATAATTAAATTCCTGTACTTATGTTTGTCTCTTAAGGTATATATTTACTAAGTAGATCTAGAAATATTAGTTAAATTTGAAATGTTCCTTGGAATATAATGTTTTATACCTTATGTCAAAAATCTTGACGCGAGCCCATTGCAGAGGTGTACGAGAGAGGAACGAACGACAACTCTGAAAGGGAGATTGCATGGTCTTATTTAAATATTCTCTATAAATCAGCCTTTCAAATATTGTTTTCCTTTTTTTAAAGCGTTTTAAGGACAATCCTAAATTTTAAGTTAGTGTAAAACTCAAAGTTTCAGAGGATTTTCACCCCCCCCCCCCCAAAAAAAAAAACAAAAAAATAGAAAAAAAAACTACATATGTATTTAATTGTTGAGTGTCTTCATTACAGTGTCATTAATGGGGTCCATGGGTTCTTTAGGAGCATCAAACAGAGCATTGCCAGGTATGAATCGACAAAAACTCTACCTTGATACACCCAAAAATTATATTTAATGCCTGAATTTATACAAGTGCATGGGCATATTGTCATTGAATTTTTGGAGATATTAAATGTGGAGAATATTCAAGTGTTTATCAATTGAAAATATAATTTAAATTTGTTACTGAAATTATACTTTAAAATACAGAACAGATTAACCACTGATATGGAAAAAAAAAATAAACGAAATGTTGGGCCAAAATAAAAAATACCTTTGTTTCCCCTAACGCGATCGACACAATTAAAACCTGCCGACTGAAAAGGTTTTTTTAAAGAAGATTATTCAAATATTTTTTTTTAATTTTTATCATCTTTTATAAAATACAATTTCATCAAAATCCGTTCTTATCAGAAATTCAAAATGTATTTTCAAAGCTTCTGTCAGAAAAAAAATAAATATTTACCTACCTACCTACCCAACTTCAGATTCTAGGGTCGGGTTAGGGGAAACAAAGATATTTTTAATGATGGCCTTGACACACATTTCTGGATTTGATTTTAATATTTTTTTTTATAATTTTATTGTAGGAATGAAGTAGAACAGTACTAAATAGCTTAGCTTCACCTATCAAGTTCTCACATCATCCTGCAAATACACACATCATCAGGCGATAGGGGGCGTAACGAAAATACCGACAAGGGCAGATAAACCATATGATTATATTTTGTAATATATTTACTATAAGGCATCAAAGGTGTATCGTAAATATGTGTATAAAGACAATATGAAAAGCCTTTTACTCTCTGTACTTTTTTCCGAACCGTATCGGTTCGCACATGTATTTTTAATTGTTCAATTAATTATCAAGAAATTCTTAATTGACAAGAGTTATTTCCCCTGCCGACGTCTGTTAGCCTTAACAATGACAGTTTTCAAATCAGCCTTGATTCGTCTGATACAGAAAATTTTTTTTATGTGTTGCATGTCATTTCTTTTATAATAAAATATTGTAAACCATATGTTTTCTTCTTCTTAATGGATGTATATATTGTATTTGTATCATAACTTTTAAACGTTTGGTTCTAGGGATTTCATATTTCTCAGTTATGCTCCCTGAACCAAGACCTTTCTTAGAGTAACATTATTTTTTTTTATCTCTTGATCTTGATCCCGGTGTTTTACTCGCAATTGCGAACTTTAACCTTTAATCTGCCATACGGAGTATCACATCTTGTTAATTATTATTTTTTAATTACCATGTGTACTCTTTTTCTGCTTATACAATTTTTACACGTATTTTACACCTACCATCACTATTCTCTAAACAAAGTATTGTCAAACACACATTTATGCATTGATTTCCAATTTTTAAACTGAGTGTAAACAATTATAGTAAAGATTTTTCTTCCCTATATCCCACCAAGTCGTACAAAAATTTAAACATACATGTCCGTCAGCATATTGTTCGTTCTTTTTAATCAATTTGATGTACATTAACGAGATAAAAATACCTTATACATTAACGTGATAAACATAGCCTATACATTAACGTGATGAACATACCCTATACATTAACGTGATAAACATACCCTATACATTAACGTGATAAACATACCCTATACATTAACGTAATAAAACATACCCTATACATTAACGTGATAAAACATACCCTATACATTAACGTGATAAACATACCTATACATTAACGTAATAAAACATACCCTATACATTAACGTGATAAAACATACCCTATACATTGACGTGGTAAAACATACCCTATACATTAACGAGATAAACATACTATACATTAACGTGATAAACATACCCTATACATTAACGTGGTGAACATACCCTATACATTAACGTGATAAAAATACCCTATACATTAACGTGATAAACATACCCTATACATTAACGTGGTGAACATACCCTATACATTAACGTGATAAACATACCCTATACATTAACGTAATAAAACATACCCTATACATTAACGTGATAAAACATACCCTATACATTAACGTGATAAACATACCCTATACATTAACGTGATAAAACATACCCTATACATTAACGTGATAAACATACCCTATACATTAACGAAATAAAACATACCCTATACATTAACGTGATAAAACATACCCTATACATTAACGTGATAAACATACCCTATACATTAACGTGATAAACATACCGTATTTTTTTCTTTTTTATATCAGTTGCCTTTAGATATAAAGAAGAAGTTGATTTTTAGGATTTTTCAACGTTTATGATTCATAAAATGTGTCAACCAATCACTGTGCATCTTACATAAATGCAGAATGTAGAGCTTACAAAATGGCGTCATAGTAGAAATTGAAAAGAGCACATCAGTGTAATGAAATAAGCACAAATCAAATGCAGTAACACCTCATCATAATGAAGAAACCACTGCATATTTTGTAAAAGCACCATCTTATCATAAAAACAAATCACATAAGGTAGCCATGGAGAATTTGAAAAACCATTGTTGTAAACAGCTGGTAAAGGATTTCAGTAATGTGACAAGTATGTATTATAAAGTACAATACATGTAATATCTATTTGATTTGTAAGATACACTGAAGCGTCAAATCTCCTGGCCGTTTGATAAACTCTGTAATCGTTTTGTACCTTTGAAAACTGAAGTGTGCATGAACTAAACATAACGAGGGTAAGTTTCCAAGTTCAGTGATGCATATCTCTGTTATTTTTGGAACAATCAGCGTGACACTGATAGAAAGGTGGTGAAATTCTAAAGTACCAAGAAGCAGTTAGACAAAAACACAGGTACATGACTTTCTGAATATTGCTCTTTATTGATAAAAAAAAGGTCATTATTATAGTATGGATTTTTTTTAATTAGTACACGATTCCATTTCACAAGTTTTAGAGTTATCGCTCTTTGCCACACGGAGGCGTTGTCGTCGACCGCCATTACGGTGCTGACAGTATGACAAGAGTGACACTCTGTTTATCTTTTAAAACGATAAGTGAGCTAGCAAAAAAAACAAAAACAAAACAAAAATAGATATCTGAGCCATTGCTTTAATATGCCGAGTCAATTTATCATTAATAAGAAGACGTATTGTGGTGCACTAAGGTGATGTTTGGGGATGGGGGTCCCAATATTCAGAATGGGGAATCTAGCGTTGTCTTCAAGTCGGAAATGGCATAACTGTGGTTTAATTAAACATTCTATAGTTCACTGTAATTTAAATTCTGAAGTGAAAAATACAGTTATTTAAGAGATCAGTAGATTCATGCAATGAGCACCTAGTTTAAAATATTTCAGTGTGGTACTGTTTTGTAACAATCGCATCTCCTCGGGCCTTTCCGATTGGCTCAAGAAACATACCCGAGCTTTTTTTCCGAGCTTGTCGGAAAGTACCTGGGAAGGTATTTAAGAGAAACTTAGTTTTTTTTAATTATAATTTAGAAATAACTTATTTCTACAGTCTTGGTATTATAAGACATAGGTTATGGTTACTTTTTATACATTTATGTACAGATTAGGCAACAAAACACGAAACTTCAGATCATATGTATTTTCAGATGACAAAACGAAATTGACATGGTACAGTTTATTTACCGTACTATTCACAGAAATTAAGTCCTACTGTTAAGTCGAGCATGCGTATTCCAGTAAAAAAGACTAAGGTAGTTTCTGGCGCTGGAGAGCGCTAGCAATAAAGAGGTGGCGGACACTGTGTTATCTTTGTTGTCCCAAGACGAACGTAAACTAGTATATGTCAAAGTATGTAGGTAGAAAATAAGCCTGTCGAGAAAACCTGTTTCATGTTTTTAACATTTTTTTTAAATCAATATTTGATTTTATTAACGCCTTCCGAGAAAATCTATACGCACGTCGTGTCATTTATCCAGTATCTCTTCATTTTGCTTTATGTATCACTTTTATACACCGTTTAGTGTTATATTAACAAAAGTTTTTAATTTTTTTTATTAAAATTTTTATATAATTGTCTTTATTTAATCGTTCTTTTTTAAATAACAATTTACATTGTCATTAGAGAGCACACCTGCCGAGAAAATTTATTACGTTACGTTTTTTCTTGTTTCCTTAAATTGGTTTAGCATGCAATATTTTCATAACATTTGACCAAGAAAAAAATATATTTAAAGAAAATAAATAATAAAAATCTTTGATTTTATATTTGGTTATTTATAAGTCAGAGGGTAAATTAATCATCTAAATTTGTTAATGTACGTATGTTTTCATTAATGTTAATAGTCTCAAAATGAACGCAAACATGTAAGATCAGAATTATTGAAAACGTACCTAAAAAAACATAAGAGGCGCTTTTTATAAGATTGAAAAAAGTATATTTAAAAAAAAAACAAAAAACAACAACATATATATCATGCATGAATATGTTGAAGTACATGTATAAGTCATTTAAAACTTCCATCGCTTGTCACTTAAAGTCCTGGGTACCCGTAAACTACGAAAAGAAGAGAAAAGGAAAACACATAGAAATGTATATTAATTAATTCTTTCCTTAAAACTTTTCCCATCAAAATTCCCAGAGCAGGAACATGGCGGGTTTTTTATCAATGAAATGCCACAGATTGTCATCACAAAACGGCTTTCCATAGTACACTTATGCCCATACATCGGACCGGAGCGCCGCGTGAGGTAAAGCTCGCCGATTATTTGACATATTTTTTAATCGAAGATTACTACTGTAAGTATTGACAGTATATAATTCTCACTTTTTCGCCATTTATCATATGCAAGTCTTCATTTATAAAACTGGATAAGTCACCCCTTATGTTATTCAATTCCCCCCCGTTATGCAAGCGTGGATGTCTTGTATGGTAGCACGGCTAAGACAATGGGCTTGGCGTTCATGATAAAAGTTTTAAAAGTTGAAACGGAACTGGAATCGGAACATTTTCGATCACCTTCGTACTAAATGGGGCCCGTCTTCAAACCTTTGAAATTTAAACTTCTCAACTTTGGAGACAGTCTAAGTGGTGTGTATCACACTGGTTAAGTTCTTCAGTGTGTATAATGTTCAACAAAGATTCTAAACTGAAACTTCTAAATAATATATATGCATTACTGCAGGGAAATATATATATGAAATATTTTTTAAATGTTTAATTTTTCAGTTAATTTATACTGTAAACATGGTAAATATTGAGATTTTTCTTAAACTTGTGCATTTTATGAAAACTTTTTTTTTTTTCTTTGGATTCACTTGAAAATCAGTCCAACTTATCTTTTGTCAATGAAAAACTAATATTTCAAGTTGTTAATCTTGTATGGACAGACCAATCGTTATATTTAATTCATGGTCTGGACGTTAACCCCCCCCCCCCCCCGAGATATTTATATCATGCAGTTATTAATAAAATTTAGGTTAAACATCTTTGACGAGGATGTTCAATATTTTTGAAAAATATCATCAAAGTCTAACACCACTGTACATTATTTAATATTTTGGAAGTTTTATTTAATTTTACTTTGATCTGTCATTGGATTTTTTTTTTATTTCGTTAGTAGCTGAAACGTTTTTTAAAAGTTTATAAAATATGCAGGCCCGTAGCGATGGTTTTAAAAGTGGAGGAGGGGCAACCCCCCCCCCCCCTAAAAAACTGACAAGCAAAAAAAGGGGGGGGGCAATTTCCCAAATTATCTGACAAACAAAAATTTTTAAAAAAATTAAAAAAAAACTAATTTGCTATTACAAATCCTTGAATTTGCTAGTGCTCGACATTACAGCAACAAATAGTGGGTGGCCAACTAGCATCTGAGGGAAAATTTACTATAGCAAAATACTATACTCAGAAAAAGTGGGGGGGGGGGGGGGGGGTGGCACCTGCTTTCTGCGGGCCAGGTATGAGAATAAACCAAAGTTTCATAACCCTGTCATGTGAATAGTTTCATTTGATTGGGTACCTTTCTTAATCCAGGCATGGCTAAGAATAAACTTAAACACGTGAAAATGTCAAGGGACACGTGCAGTCTTCATGATAAACTTTTTCAACAAGCTTCCCGCCGTATGGCCATACAGGAGAAGTGTTTTTATTGGGTACCCCCCTTCCAGAATTCTCAATTGTAATATTAGATAAAATGCATTGAAAATTCCTCATGATCATATATACAAAAAGCCATGGAAGTCACGCCCTCCCCCCTTCCCAAGAGAGAGAGAGGGGGGGGAGCACTGTGATTTCAAAATCTGTCCTTTTGCATTCTTGATAAATATTTCTTATTTCTTTTTCCATTTTTCTTTTTATAATTTTCACCTGAGTATAGCTCTACACGACCTACATGTACCGAGAAACTGGACCTGTTGACCCTGTTACAGAACCATTTTATTGTATACAACAAGGAATTCCGTAATTAGGAGTTATAAAATGGCCCTGATAAAATAGAATTTCAAAGTGCTGCGATACTTTTCTTTATCTCCTTGGTATATTCAATAACTGACAACATCGATATTTTGTTTACCTTTGTCCTTACAGAAGTGCTTTGTCCACAAGTATACACGTGTGTCTCGAAAGTGAAGGCTATTCCGCCAGCACTTGATCATATACGGTAAGTTTTTTTTTTTTTTTTTTTTAATCAGTTTTTTATCTGCTGCATGTAAATATAGTTATGTATAATGTATATGCATGTGTATAAATGCATTTAAGGGATGAGTAAGACAAGTGAAAAATATTTTCAAAATATCTACACAAGAGGAAGTTTACAGATAAATCATTAGTCTAAAGCATTTAATTCTGTTGTGTAATGCACGCTCACAAAAGCGTCTACAAATCGTTCCACCTTTCCCCCCATACCTGGCTATACTTATATGTATAGAACAACGCTATGAAAGGATTTTTTCATCATTCGATCTTCTAACGAAGTGTTTGTGCATTTGTAACATATGTTACATTTTTATGTCTCAATTTAAACCTACATGTATCTATATAAAGTAATAAATAGATTCAAACAAAGAATTGAACATATCCTATATTTATGCATGGGCTGTAACCCCTATCCCCCACTCCACCCCTTGTTTTTGGTTAATGTCAACGAAAAGATTTAATTGTTTTGAAAATCCCTCACCGGCCACATTTGCTTATTTGATTTGGAAAATAAGGGGAAAGAAAGGGGGGGGATGCAACGATAAGAAATCCAGAGAGTTAACCGGGAGGGATGAAAAGCTAAAACTTGTGAAGTTCCTACCTTACTGACAATTTGTATACCATATTTTACAAACTTTTGGAGACCTTATTTGTCAAAAAAACAGATTTCCCCCTAGGGGCATTTTTTATTAACGTAAACATGCTCAGATGTCATCTTAAGTTCAGTGTCATGTACAATAAACTGTGGCGGATCTGAAATTTAACCCAAGTATAAATTTCCATTTTTTTTTTAAATTTTATATGAAGCTTTAACAACCATATAACGCATATATATATGATCAAGCTGTATACCACTTCATTAAATGTATAACGTTATTTTGAAAAAAAAAAACCCAATATTTTCTTGTTTATCCATGGCTATCATATATTTAGTTATGGTTTAAAATTTATTCCCACATCAATGCGTGGACAGGTATAAGACAAACAACTTATCTACATGTATTTACCACATGTACATGTATACGAATCTCCATTTTGCTACGTGCAAAAACCTTTATTTCTTTCTTTTCTCTTGACTTAATTGTCAAACAATTCGGAGTCTTATTTTTTTGAGGGGGGTGGGTGGTGGTCTTGAATCCACCCCTTTGTTGTGTAATTCGTTCGTATCATATTAGTTTTATCCCTTTTATAGCAACTAGTCTTCAAAGGCAAATTTTTTTTACCCTTGTGGATATATAAAAAAAGGGAAGGGGGTATGAATTGTTTTAAAATTTAACAATTTGATCGAGATGGGTAAAAAAAAAAAAGTTTGGATCTAATTGTAGACAGTTTTTAGGACAGTAACTTCAGATGCTGCCTATTTTTAGACGTGTCTTTCGAACTGAGTTAATTTATTCCATCTCTTAAAATTTGTCCCAGATTATGATCTCCAAATATTTACAGTTGAACTTTGGTATCTCGAAGACTGTTATCTCAAACACCATGGATGTGTCGAAGTGAGCTGGAAATCCCAACCACTTTTTCTCTATGTATTTTAACCTGGATATCTTGAATCCTGAGATATCTCGAAGTTTTTTTTTCTGTTTCATCTAGTTCGAGATAACGAGGTTTGGCTGTATATGTTATTTTCAATATCTGTCTAATAGGTTTCATATCAACACACACTCATAGGGATAAGGAAAAAAGAAAGTTCAGCCGAATCTAGGAAACAGTGATACAATCAGGTATAGCCAGCTATTAAAGATTTTCAAAACATGAGTATTTAAACACTATTTTTTTTCATCAGAGTTTATGCTGAAGTAGAAGATCCGATTATGATCTATATTTTCGAAGTGTTATATCTAAGTCGATTTAAATTTTCTGTATATCGTATATAAAATAGTCGAACACATAAATCTTAATACAATGTATAGTATATAAAACTAAAAATGTACGATAAAGCCTCATTAAAAGTAGAATCTCGTAGATCAAAGGAATACTATTTCAGTTCTTTATTGCATATATTTAATGAAAAAGCATCACATTTGATAAATATAAATGACAATCATCAATCATTTAAAAGATACAGCTGTAGCTAAGTGTAGCTTAATTTATTAAATAAATAAATTAATAAATAAAAATAAAATTTAAAAAAAAAATGATGTAGGTTTTCAGCTAAACAAGGTTAAGTCGGTAGGACTTGGAATAAATAGTACTATAGATATCCGAAAACATTAAATAATAGTTAAAATTAATAATTTAAATATGGATGTATTTTTTCCGCATTTTATTTCCAATGCTGAAAATATACATAAGGAAGGGGGTGGAGGTGGGGACTTGATCTCATTGGAGGGGGGACTTAGGCCATAACTGAAAGATTTAATATAATGGGGACGTTACTATATCTTGAAAAAAAAATTGAAATTTCTTTTTTGATGAAATCTACCTTGTGAAAATTAAAATATGGTACATGTTAATGTGCAGTAAGCCGGAGAAATCGATTGTAATATTTAGTTTGATTACGTAATACAGGTCAAGGAGAATCGCTTTCTTGATTGAAAACATTTCGTTAATCAGGCAATGAACGCTTTCTGTGTGAGATGATAATGCATGTTTGCTTTGCTCTTGATATTCGTGTAAGCTATATTTATCTTTTATATTACCAATTTTCTTATATTTGCATATTATCTTCATGTACCATGATAGCATATGCAAAACACTCCGCTAAATTACTCTAGATACGATTGCTTAAAAAGTGTGTAAAAGGGATAAGCTGGAAATTAGTTCTTAGAGAATGAAATCATATATATGAACAAATACACTTACATTTTAAAACTGAACATCTTTTTTTCAGAAAACGTAGCGGCTTTTTTTCATCAAACTTTTTGGAGTGCCCAGACCTTGCTTGGTCTTTGTGTTTACAGAAAAAAAAACTTCAAAATGACTAGGACCTATGAAAACGACTGAGGACATTTTATATCTATCTCCGTGTTTTACCATCAAATATGTCTGCCTCACAAAAGGGATCACATGACCACTTGACACCAGAAGATGCGCCACCAATGCGCGGGGTAAGAATGATAACTCAGTAATTTTATGTCTTTTTATCATAAAACGGAGAGTTTTATAAATATTATTAATTCATCAAAGTCAGTTTTAAAAAGTTTGAATTCAAGTGTTTAATGTAATTTACCTAAAGGTTTGTATTATTCTTTCTTGTTCGCTGAAACTTTGAACAAAGGCTGGGGAATTTACAATTTTTCTCAAACAAAATCATTTGCCAAAATTATAGTGTGAGTGTCTCTGCATTCAGTTTAATTGTCCTTTACTTAGCGATGCTTGCGCATCAATATTGTTGTCGTTTTAACGGGGAAATTTTTGTCATTTTCCAAACTTTTGATGGTTTTGAAATGAAAATTGCTTAAGTCTAGTATTTTTTTTCTTTCAGAAAATCACGGCCTACCTCACCGTGGCTGTGTTTTCAGCCGTTATGGGATCACTACAGTTTGGGTATAATACTGGGGTCATTAACGCCCCAGAGAAGGTAATATACAAATATTTAAAAACAAAACCGAATTTTAGCCACTTAAAATACAATTACAGTCATATCTCTCGTGAAGTTAAAATGTTATAGGGTTATTGAACTTATATTGGTGAATATTGGCACGAGTTGGCTGTACATATGCACGAGTTTGCAAGTGCATTTGTACAGCAAACTCGTGCCAGTATTCACCAATATATTAAGTTCATTAACTTCTTTATTAAATAGCTTAAACATTTCACATTGATTTATTTTAATTATTTCAATTAAATAACTCAAAATTAATGAGAATTTTTTTAGTATCGGTATTCAAATTAAGACTGTGTTAGCGTCTGTCCTGTAAGTATTCAATATCACATTATTCCAATGACCCTACCAAGCGTTGTGATTTGCTTATTTAAGTTTTTATTGAGGCTAATAGGTACTAAAACATTAATCAGTGTTTTTAATTTTGTGTGAAAATAGATACATCTTTACCTAGCTGCCGCTACCCATCATAAATATTTCCGTTGAGCGGTTGACCATAAGACATTTTTTGTTTACAACAGTAAATTAATTCCGAATATTCCAAATACGACCGATCAATATCGGACGCCCCGTCCGATATTGAACGCTCGTATTCGGAATATTTCGGGGCATACTCGTAAACGTAATGCAATAAAACGCAAAAACTAAAATTGAAGATATTGAACTCTAATATTCTCTAGACTTTTAGTAGTTTTTAAATAAAGACTATTTATTAGCTATTTAATAAATTAAAATTCTAAATGAAAATTTTTTTGTCATTATATGTTTGAGCATTTATCGTTGCCTAAATTTGCCTACAGTTTACTTTATTAAACAGCATACTAAGGGTGAAATATTTATTTTCGTGAAAAAAAAAGAAAATCAAGGAGTTTATGAACGAGAGCCACATCTACCGCTTTAACACGCCAATAGAGGGGAATACTCAGCTCAACCTTTACTCGCTGTTGGTCGCCATCTTTGCTGTGGGCGGAATGCTTGGTGGTCTGATGGCGGGATGGTGGGCAGACTTCTTTGGAAGGTACGTACTCAATCTTCATCAAAAAATCACAATGTACTTTTGAATATTTTTATTTGTATATACATGTGTTCAAGTTTTATAATGTCTTATTTATGTACCTGAAGCGAGTTCTGATAGCTTATCTGTTTAGAACGATTGACTCTGAATTAGCTAAAGAAGTGACAAATCACTTCAGGCGCGGTCCAGGAATTTTTTCTAGGGGGGTGGGGGGTCCGCCCCAGTCAACAAAAAATATTCCAACCTAGAAAATTCTTGACAAGCAAAAAAAAAAAACAAAACAAAACAAAACAAAACAAAACCAAAAAGAAAAAAGAAAAAAAAGAAAAAGAAAAAAAGAGAACCCAAAAACAAACAAACTTAAACTCCTTTCCCAAATGTGAAAGATGTGAAAGGCCTATTTCGTTGGAGGGAGGGGGGGGGCGTTGGAGGGGGGGGTAGTTGTTTACTTTTAAAAGCTTCATACCTATGACTTTTCGTTTTCGAGGGGGGGGGGGTCCAAGGTCACTTTTAGTTGGTTTAGTATATACATTTACTAACTCTGCAAATTCCAGGGGGGTCCGGACCCCCCGACCCCCCTCTAGATCCGCGCATGCACTTTGTAACCTGTTATAGATTTTATGTCAAATTTCATTTCCATTTAAGGTTCACCATCCCTCTGTTCACTCATAAAAATTGCTTTAAAACTAATGGCTTTTCAAAAGAAATCTAATTTATAGTTATTATAGTTAAACTGTACACAGTATTGGCATTCCTTGTGTTGAAAAACTCAACAGAAATGACTATTTAACTTGAACATTTTATAAAATAATAAATAAATAGTCATTTAGCCTAGTAAGAGTTACCTTTCTTTTTAGAGGGTCAATAAACCTTAAGGAAGAAGGGTAATAGGTCTAGAATTGAAAACCCTTTTCTTTTTTAATTTAAAATTTCAGGTATTGGCTCGTATAATTATTTACATTTTTATTTAAAAAAGTCACTCATGGCAGAAATTTTTATCAAGGGAAAAAACTATTTAAGAGAGGAGAGGCTAGCTAAGAGTTGTCCCCCCTTAAACCCCTGTCACACCGGGACTGCGTCCTCACGGCGATCGCACGGCGTCCATAAAAAATGCAAAACGCCGAGGTGAGCGCAGTAGAGTCTCCTACAGCGCCGTGACAACGCGGCGAGATCTCCACTGAACGCGGTAGGGTCGCGAAGGGTCTCCTAGAACGCCAGGGGACGGCGCGCACTTTGGGCATGCACAAAGTACGCGCCGTGTGATCGCCGTCTGATTAATACGCGGTAGAAACGTAGTATGATCGCCGTAGCAGCGCGGTGAGATCTCTAACAACGCAGTGGGAGCTCCGTACGCACGCCGTGAAGACGCACATGATCGCAGCATGAACGCAGTGATAGTACACTGCGCTTCCACGGAGACATCGCGGAGTCCTTGGAGATGTCACTGCGTTTCTATCGCGCTTTTACGGCGCTTCTAACGAGATTAATCGTCTTGTGATTTTTTTGACTGCAATTACACAGCGACAACAAGGAGTTGTCATTGCGATCATTGCGCTTCCTTGGCGTTTCTACCGCGTCCGTATGCGATCACAAAGCGCTTTCACGGCGTTGTTAGATGCGTTGTCAGCCAGCTCGAAAAACAAGAGCAATGGCATCATAATTGATTAGCAATAATTCTAACGTTTTTGTTGCACTCATGACCAGGAGCATTGGAGTAGAATTGGGAAGTAAAAATTACACCAGAACTTGTTCTATTGTTTCAGTGGAGTTGCGGTAGAATTACTTAAATTTTATAACAACTTTTCAGTGTGTTTATTATTTTTTTTACATTCATAATAAAATCAAAGGAAAGATAAAAACACATCTGAATTGATATAATTGAACAAAGAAAGCTTTTAATAATAAAACTATCAAAAATTTAGTACTGAATTATTCAAATAGATCATTTTTAATTGAAGAATATTTCTGGGCATAAGTAGAAGTCTTTTCATCATGTAACTTGAATCTTTTATAAAAAAAAAAAAGTGTTACACTCCTTCTGAAGAACGCATTGTGAGCGTATTGTGAACGCAGCCAGCGCAGTGAGAACGCCGTGAACGCGAGGCGACAACTCCTAATACGCCGTGAAAGCTCCGCGGAAGCGCAGTCAATCTCCGTGGGAACGCTGTAGCACGCCGCATGAACGCCGTAGAAACGCGTGGGTCGCCGTAGGGACGCCATGACATCTTCACATTGTGAAAATTTTACAGAAATTTCTGCAATTTCCCTGCGATTCCACTGCGATTTAAAAAATTTAACAACGCCGTAATTACTCCGTGTGGACGCAGCTTGGTGTGACAGGGCCCTTAAGGACCATGGCGGTTTGATAGAAATATCTTCAAATCAGGATCCAAAGGACAGCATTTCCTTTACTTCCTTTACATTAACGCCATATTTTATCTTTCATTATAGAACAAATTACCACAAACGATAAAAGTCCGTATATTTTTATTTCAGGAAGTTTGGCATGTTACTAAATAATGCCTTTGCCTTTGCTGCCGGCGGCCTTTTCTTCTTCAGTAGAGAGGCTCATTCCTATGAGATGATCATTGTAGCGAGGCTCCTCATTGGCTTTAACTGTGGTAAGAACTGATTTCTGATTGGCTTTAACTGTGGTAAGAACTAGTTTCTGATTGGCTTTAACTGTGTTGAGAACTGATTTCTGATTGGCTTTAACTGTGGTAAGAACTGATTTCTGATTGGCTTTAACTGTGGTAAGAACTGATTTCTGATTGGCTTTAACTGTGGTGAGAACTGATTTCTGATTGGCTTTAACTGTGGTAAGAACTGATTTCTGATTGGCTTTAACTGTGGTAAGAACTGATTTCTGATTGGCTTTAACTGTGGTAAGAACTGATTTCTGATTGGCTTTAACTGTGGTAAGAACTGATTTCTGATTGGCTTTAACTGGTAAGAACTGATTTCTGATTGGTTTTAACACTGGTTAGAACTGATTTCTGATTGGATTTAACTCTGGTAAGAACTGATTTCTGATTGGTTTTAACTCTGGTAAGAACTGATTTCTGATTGGCTTTAACTGTGGTAAGAAGTGATTTCTGATTGACTTTAACTGTGGTAAGAAGTGATTTCTGATTGGTTTTAACTCTGGTAAGAACTGATTTCTGATTGGCTTTAACTGTGGTAAGAACTGATTTCTGATTGGCTTTAACTGTGGTAAGAACTGGTTTCTGATTGGCTTTAACTGTGGTGAGAACTGATTTCTGATTGGCTTTAACTGTGGTGAGAACTGGTTTCTGATTGGCTTTAACTGTGGTGAGAACTGATTTCTGATTGGCTTTAAATGTGGTAAGAACTGATTTCTGATTGGCTTTAACTGTGGTGAGAACTGATTTCTGATTGGCTTTAACTGTGGTGAGAACTGATTTCTGATTGGCTTTAACTGTGGTAAGAACTGGTTTCTGATTGGCTTTAACTGGTAAGAACTGATTTCTGATTGGCTTTAACTGTGGTAAGAACAGACTTTTGATTTGTTGCAATACTTTGATTGGCATTTTTCATGAAGATTTCTGAATTTATTTTTGGAATTATAGAAGTTTCTTAGGATGTCTCTTATATTGTTGACTTTCACGTGGCATACCCCGATTTGCCCTTTACTTTTTTACGAATATATTTTTTCTAAACGAAATTTTAAATGTTGACAATTTTCAGGTCTATATACGGGCCTGACACCTTTGTACCTGACAGAGATTGCCACAGCTAATATCAGGGGTGCACTCGGTACCCTCCACCAGTTTGGCGTTACCATAGGAATCTTCCTATCACAGATCCTGGGGTTTCCGGAAATCTTCGGTAACGGGGAATACTGGCACGTGCTTTTGGGTATGTTTACAATTTTCTGTAAAAGAAAATATTTTTTTTAAAGACACATTAATTTTTGAACCACTGAAAGGAGAATGAAGTTGGGGATGCTAAAAAGACATCTTAATTGTTTACGTTTTGAAAGAAAACATGCAGAATATAATAATTAAAATGAACACGCACAGTTATACAGTATTTGACAATACAGAAAGTGATACTTAGCTGGGATACAAGTAAATTTCCATGTGTTATGCTTAAGAGAAACGGTTATAACATATGGCATGTTTTACAGAATAAAATCAAACAAAAGCATTCACAGGAGGATGCTCGTATGTACCAAAGAGTTCCAATATACATGTACTATAAAGCTAAAAGAGTTCGCTACTCTATAGATAAAATAAATGTAAGATCATTATTCTGTTCAGTTGTAAATGTATGTATAACTTTGTCTGTAGGTCTGTGCGTTGCTCCGTCAGCGTTACAGCTCCTGACGATGCCGTTCTGCCCGGAAAGCCCTCGGTATTTATTGATTACCAAAGAAAAGGAAAACGATGCCATGAACGGTAAGCACACAGTGTCTTTCAATAAGTAAAGAAATAGTTTGTGTAATTTAAAGCTTTTAAATATTTAAATCAATTTGAGCCAATTCTTTAAAGTAAAATTGTTTAGATATTAAATGTTTAAATAACTTTCATTGCGGATGTGTAGTTTTGATGATGCAAAAGCTTTACTTTTTCTAATCAAGCTTTGGTAAAACTCCGAGGAACTCCGGGAGTAGACGGAGATCTAGATGAAATGAGACAAGAACACCAAGCGATGCAGTCTGAAAACAAGGTCAGTAGTCACCTGATATCATACGCTGAGAAAGCAGCATTTCAATTCGCCTTTCAATTTATATATGCTTTCTTTCAGATTGGAATTCTGCGCCTATTGAAGAAGAAGTCCTTGCGCATGCCCCTTATCATCAGCATTGTAATGCATTTGTCACAGCAATTGTCGGGAATCAACGCAGTAAGAACAATATTATAAGTCAAGCTGATGTCATATGACAGTTTAAAATTATCTTAAGATCAAGATTTTTTTTTAATATTTTAAAGATATGTTAAAAAATAGAAAAAATAGTATCCGACATCAATTTCAAAGTGACATTAGAATTCGGAAGTTTTAAGACGTCCTTACAGATTGACTGACCTTACTTTTACGTTTAAATTTAATTGAAATGAAAATTAAATGCCAAAGCTGAGCACGAATGAATGCCTTTCTATTGTATTCTCAAGTGATCACATCGAGCAACTATACCAATTGAAACCGTCGCCCGCGTGGCGCAGTGGTTAGAGCGTCTGCTCTAGAGTCGCGGCGTAAGGAGTTGATCCTTACGTCGCGGGTTCGAATCCCACTGTGGGACGTGAAGACCAGTCCTTCGGATGAGACCGTTTAAACCGAGGTCCCGTGTCGCAGTAGGTGCTGGCACGAAAAAGAACCCTCACTGCTCAATGGCCGTAAGTGCCGAGTATAGGACAAAATTTGCAGCTCTCCACCGGCAAGTCGTGGCATCTCCATATGAGTGAAAAATTCTCGAGAGGGACGTTAAACAACATACAAACAAACAAGCAAACCAACTGAAACCTGCTTATCATATACATGTATTTGAATTGCTGATTTAAAACGAAAACATATACATCACCCTGCAAGGTCAATTAGCTGCACCCAATCTTCGAAAGGACGCGAAATACAATGTACCTTTTATAACAAGTCCACTCTGACTTTCAAAATGACTCGGTTTTCTCATTGATTTGTTTGCAATTATTACTTCAGTGCACAAAGAACATTGCAGTTTTTTTTTAAAGAATACATCCATTCTGACCTTCAAAGTGACTTGGATTTCTTGTGGATTTATTTGCGATAATTTTTTAAAGTTCAAGAAAATACTTAGTAAATGTTTCCATTGTGTTTCAATTTACACCTTTCTTTTCCAGATATTTTACTACTCCTTCAAATTATTTACAAGCGCCGGTATTTCCGATGACCTGGCTGCGCACGCAACAAGCGGGATCGGCGCCATCATGGTTGTCATGACGCTAATCACCATTCCGTTGATGGACAGGATTGGTAGGCGGAGCTTACACCTGACAGGATTAGCTGGGATGTTTATCTTCAGCATTCTGATCACCATTACCCTGTCTCTGACGGTAAGAAGACTTCTTTTTCAATGAAAAGCAATGGAAGCTCACTCCTGCATGGCACCTGATCCCACCTCTAAATTTTGAGGTCCGTGTTTGCTCTGCTCCAAATTTGTATCGTTTCATTGGACTTTCGAGATTGAATACTGTTCGTTATCTTCATATTTCATTTAAAGGAGCCAATATACATACATGTAGAAGTTGAAAATTGTTTCATTAAATATTTTGATTCTGGTTTGCATTTTTATTTTTTAAGTATATACACGTATGTATGAAAGTTTTAAACCAATTGAGAACTCCGCAATATTTGCACTCTTCAGAAAGGAATTAAAAAGAAACATTTTTTCGAATTCTAATCTTGTAATAGCAGACTCAGAAGTACAAATCTCTCCTGTTAATTGTTTAATGTGCCAGTACATGTTATTGGTCAAAATTATTTAGGGAGTTTCATGTCTATATCAGGATTAATTTTAAAAAGGAATTATTTGTAATTAATTGAAATAATTTATAACGCTATAAGCTTTAGTGAAATAAATCTTTGTTCCATATTTACTTGAAACCTTTCACTTCATCTGGAGAAGGGGTTAACAAATTTTAACAATGTTATATTCTGTTTTATTTTTACAGGACAAAGTGGCTTGGTTTGACACAGCAAATGTGATCGTGTCACTCCTGTATGTTGTCTTTTTTGCCATCGGACCAGGTAAATCTCATCATTCACTCAATAAATAAATAAAAATTTGTACGGAAAGACCAAATGTAGCTTTCTGAAGAGGCAGAAAATATACACTATACAGGAAGCCAATTTAAATTATATGCTTCATTAAAGGATCCATTCCATGGATGATAGTTGCCGAACTCTTCACGCAGGGACCACGTGTTTCCGCAATGAGTATATCAGTTCTTATCAACTGGGCTTCCAACTTTGCTGTGGGATACGTGTTTCCCATCATGCAGGTAACCTAAACATGATATTGTAGATGTGAACTAGATTTTAAGCAAAAATTTTCTTAAGCCGTGAGAAAGATTGAGATAAAGGGGTATAAAGCCTTGAGGAAGATCGCGATAAAATACATAACCAGCATTAATTTGGAATTTCTTCAACTATTTTTGGTGTGATGTAGAAAAAATGATTTGTTTACCTCAGTCCTGAAAGTTGGTTGCAGATGGAATAACTTTTTATTATAACCAATTGTACTAATTTAGAAGTTCTAGGATCTTATACTGGTCCAATGTAGATGTTATATTCACCTGGAAGGTCTGGTGCAGGTGAAAAACTTTTGATTATTAATTGTACCATTTCTGAACTTGTTGATCTAACATTAGATCAATGTAGAAAAAAATACGTACGTATGTTTACCTTCAAGGTCACTTGCAGGACTGGTGAAATTTCTAAAATGTTGGATCTCATCCAATTACAGAGCTGGAAAACTTTCAGTCATATAATAAAGTACATTAAATGTGTGCTATTATGTAAAAAAAAAACATAATTAATTAGCACAAGAAATAGTAGTTATTAAATGTATGATTAAAAAGATGTTTGGTGTTGAAAATGGAATATCTTTGTTGTTCTGTATGGCGATATCCGGATTATAATTTTACATCTACTTTGATTTCTTACGATTCTTTTTTCAGGACGGTCTGGAGAACTACTCTTTGTTGTTCTGTATGTCGATATCCACCGGATTCCGGATTATAATTTTACATCTACTTTGATTTCTTTGGATTCTTTTTCAGGACGGTCTGGAGAACTACTCTTTGTTGTTCTGTATGTCGATATCCGCCGGATTCCGGATTATATTTTTAGCTCACCTGAGCTGAAAGCTCAAGTGAGCTTTTCTGATCCGTCTGTCCGTCTGTCCGTCTGTCTGTAAACTTTTCACATTTTCGACTTCTTCTCCAGAACCACTGGGCCAATTTCAACCAAACTTGCCACAAAGCATCCTTGGGTGAAGGGGATTCAAGTTTGTTCAAATAAAGGGCCACGCCCTCTTTCAAGGGGAGATAATTAAGAATTAGTGAAAAATGAAAAGCATCTTTAAAAAATCTTCTTCTCAAGAACCACAGGGCCAGGAAAGATGAAACTCATATGGAAGCATCCCCAGGTAGTGTAGATTCAAGTTTGTTCAAATCATGACCCCCGGGGGTAGGGCGGGGCCACAATGGAGGATCAAAGTTTTACATAGAAATATATAGGAAAAATCTTTAAAAATCTTCTTCTCAAGAACAGTAAAGCCATGATGAGTCATATTTATACGGAAGCATCCCCAGGTAGTGTAGATTCAAGTTTGTTCAAATCATGACCCCCGGGGGTAGGGCGGGGCCACAATGGAGGATCAAAGTTTTACATAGAAATATATAGGAAAAATCTTTAAAAATCTTCTTCTCAAGAACAGTAAAGCCATGAAGAGTCATATTTATATGGAAGCATCCTCAGGTAGTGTAGATTCAAATTTGTTCAAATCATGACCCCCGGGGGTAGGGCGGGGCCACAATGGAGGATCAAAGTTTTACATAGAAATATATAGGAAAAATCTTTAAAAATCTTCTTTTCAAGAACAGTAAAGCCATGAAGAGTCATATTTATATGGAAGCATCCTCAGGAAGTGTAGATTCAATTTTGTTCAAATCATGGCTCCCGGGGATAGGGCGGGGCCACAATGGAAGATCAAAGTTTTACATAGAAATATATAGGAAAATTCTTCTTCTCTAGAACAGCAAAGCCATGATGAGTCAAATTTATATGGAAGCATCCTCAGGTAGTGTAGATTCAATTTTGTTCAAATGATGACCCCCGGGGGTACGGTGGGGCCCAATGGGGGATCGAAAGTTTTACGTAAGAAAATATAGAAAAAAAAAAATTCTTCTCAAGAACAGAAAAGCTATGTTAGTCTTATTGATATGGAAGCATCCTCGGGTAATTCAAGTTTGTTCAAATGATGACCCCTGAGATAGGGAGGAGCTACAATGGGGGATCAAATTTTTACAAAGGAATAAATGAGAAAATTCTTCCAAATTTTACATAGAAATATATAGGAAAAATCTTTAAAAATCTTCTTCTCAAGAACAGTAAAGCCATGAAGAGTCATATTTATACGGAAGCATCCTCAGGTAGTGTACATTCAAGTTTGTTCAAATCATGACCCCCGGGGGTAGGGCGGGGCCACAATGGAGGATCAAAGTTTTACATAGAAATATATAGGAAAAATCTTTAAAAATCTTCTTCTCAAGAACAGCAAAGCCATGATGAGTCATATTTATATGGAAGCATCCTGAGGTAGTGTAGATTCAAATTTGTTCAAACCATGGCCCCCGGGGGTAGGGCGGGGCTGCAATGGAGGATCAAAGTTTTACATAGAAATATATAGGAAAAATCTTTAAAAATCTTCTTCTCAAGAACAGCAAAGCCATGATGAGTCATATTTATATGGAAGCATCCTAAGATAGTGTACATTCAAGTTTGTTCAAATCATGACCCCCGGGGGTAGGTAGGGGCCACATTGGGCGATCAAAGTTTTACATAGGAATACATGGGAAAATATTTAAAAACCTTCTTCTCAAGAACAACTAAGCCAAGATTGGTCATATTTATGTGGAAGCATCCTCAGGTAGTGTTGATTCAGGTTTGTTCAAATCATGGCCCCCGGGGTAGGGTGGGGCCACAGTGGGCGATCAAAGTTTTACATAGGAATACATAGAGAAAATCTTTAAAAATCTTCTCAAGAACAGCAAAGCCATGATGAGTCATATTTATTTTGAAGCATCCTGAGGTAGTGTAGATTCAAGTTTGTTCAAATCATGACCCCCGGGGGGTAGGGCGGGGTCACAATGGAGGATCAAAGTTTTACATAGAAATATATAGGAAAAATCTTTAAAAATCTTCTTCTCAAGAACAGCAAAGCCATGATGAGTCATATTTATATGGAAGCATCCTCAGGTAGTGTAGATTTAAGTTTGTTCAAATCATGACCCCCGGGGGTAGGGCGGGGCCACAATGGAGGATCAAAGTTTTACATAGAAATATATAGGAAAAATCTTTAAAAATCTTCTTCTCAAGAACAGCAAAGCCATGATGAGTCATATTTATATGGAAGCATCCTGAGGTAGTGTAGATTCAAGTTTGTTCAAACCATGACCCCCGGGGGTAGGGCGGTGCCACAATGGAGGATCAAAGTTTTACATAGAAATATAAAGGAAAATATCTTCTTCTGAAGAACTGCAAACCATGATTAGTCATTTTGATATGGAAGCATCCTCAGGTAGTGTAGATTCAATTTTGTTCAAATGATGACCCCCAGGGGTAGGGTGGGGCCCAATGGGGGAAGGAAATTTTTACATAAGAACATATATAGAAAAAATATTTCTTCTCAAGAACAGAAAAGCTATGTTTAGTCATATTGATATGGAAGCATCCTGAGGTAGTGTAGATTCAAGTTTGTTCAAACCATGACCCCCGGGGGAAGGGCGGAGCCTCAATGGAGGATCAAAGTTTTACATAGAAATATAAAGGAAAATACCTTCTTCTGAAGAACAGAAAAGCTATGTTTAGTCATATTGATATGGAAGCATCCTCAGGTAGTGTAGATTCAATTTTGTTCAAATGATTACCCCCAGGGGTAGGATGGGGCCCAATGGGGGAAGGAAAGTTTTACATAAGAACATATAGAAAAAATATTTCTTCTGAAGAACAGAAAAGCTATGTTTAGTCATATTGATATGGAAGCATTCTCAGGTAGTGTAGATTCAAATTTGTTCAAATGATGACCCCTGGGATAGGGAGGTGCCACAATGAGGGATCAAATTTTTACAAAGGAATATATGGGAATTTTTTTAAAAAAAAATCTTCTCAAGTACAACAAAGCCATTTGTTATATTGAAATGGAAGCATCATCAGGTAGTTTAAAATTCAAGCCCCTCCTTCCCCCCCCCCCCAGTCTTTTCAATACTGAACTGATTGTGCTTTTGCCTAGCCAATGTGCTCAGGTGAGCGATGTGGCCCATGGGCCTCTTGTTACATCTACTTTGATTTCTTTGGATTCTTTTTCAGGACGGTCTGGAGAACTACTCTTTGTTGTTCTGTATGTCGATATCCGCCGGATTCCGGATTATATTTTTACATCTACTTTGATTTCTTTGGATTCTTTTTCAGGACGGTCTGGAGAACTACTCTTTTCTTCCGTTTACCGTTCTCCTCCTCCTGTTTTGGATATTTGTGTATGCTTACCTACCAGAGACTAAAAATAGAACATTTGAAGACATAGCCTCGTCCTGGGAGAAATCTCAAAACGAGACAGGGAATCCCCAGGCTAAATATACCCCGAAGGAAGACACAGCAATAGTAGAATTTCAACGACAACAAAATAAAAATCGGTGACGAGAAACGTTTGTAAATGATGTTATTATAGTCTAAGATTTCCATGTCTTACTGTAAAAAACTGTCTATGAAGAACTGCGAACGATAGTATTATTCTGCCACCTACCTGTAAGTCAATTTTCAAATGTTGACCTATTTGAATGATTTTTCATATTTAAGTAGATATGTATGTGAATTTTTATAAAACTTTATTTGAGAAAACAAAGAGAGATAACTCTATAATTTCGGTAAAACTTGTGTTTTTCAGTATAGAAATCAACGGAAAACGGAAATTATTTTAAAAACATCTCCTCCCCCCAAACAAAAATTCCTTTTTACAGGTATTGTTTTATTGTTATTTTACAAATTCATATCAAAGCTTTTGTTGTTTCATGGGGGGGAACATATGTTTACAGACAAAAAACAGCAAAAGTGGACATTTTCCTACCAATTTCAAATGAGATTACAAATTAAAAAAACGTACTTTATTAATCATATATGTTAAATTTTACATAAGTCAAACATACGGAATGATGTAAGGGTCATGTATCCATTTTCCTGAGTATTTAAAAATCTGGTAATGTTAAAAAGCCTGATTTCAATGGAAAAAATTTTTCTACCCCTTTATGAAAAGACTTGTAAATAAGAGCAATTAACTTTTTGACACTGTTTTTAAAATTATTAATCAATTAATAATGAACTCCTCTTTGTATTCAAATAAGTTTTGATGACCAAATTGTCATTTGTATTGAATTACGTGGGTTTAAAATGTAGGCAGGAATCGGAAGTTAGCGTTCGCAGTTCTTTAAAAAGAAGTGTACTCAGGTGAAGGTAAAATTGGTTGGAACGTTTTATGTTTCCGTTTTTTAAAATTATTTTTTTTTTGCTTTGACTTAAAAAAAAAAATTCATACATCATTCTAAGTACAAAGCTTGTTCTAGACTTTTTTCTTAGATTATCTGATATTTTTAAAACATCAGATTTTCGATGACGGTTTTTAAAGTAGTCCAGATCAACTTCAACATTTTATAAAACAATTTGTAACACAGAATGAAATACTTATAAGTTAAACCATATTTTATTAAATCAAATAAAACGTTTAACGTAGTATTACATGTAGATTGCACAAGGAGTAAACCCTTAATATTAATCCTTGCCCGAAATTGATCACAGTGTTTTGACAAAAGCTTTATATCAATGGTTTCTTTACAAATGTACAAAAAATCTGATTAAATATAGCACTTTTTACACACTTTTGTTCCCTTTGTCTGTTCTCATTCATCAACATTCACAACAATGTTTGTACGATAATTTGACCTCCATAACTGTATGATCTTAGGTTAAACCTTTATGATTGAAGAGATGACAATTAACTTAAAGTAGCAATGCAGATACAGGACAGCTTAGAACAGCAATCCAGGTATCTAACCAAGGTCAGATTTACAAACACAAAACGTGCAGTCTTTGTGATCAATGAGATACTCGCCATGACACTTTTGGTCACAGACTTGTTTTGTAAGCTCGCAGTCGATTGGATCATGAGTAGTCACGCCAGTAGTGTTACCGGAAGCGGAAGTTGTTGGGGCTGCAGTTTTTGGCGCTGATGTAGCTGAAGAAGTTGTGGGTTTGTCTGATGATGGCTGTACTGTGTCTGTAAAGAAAAGTTTTAAAACAAAGAGTTCTACAAAGTTTTATGATGTCATATACAAATGTCTTAATGATTAAAAAGAAGGAAGGAAGTTTAATGGACCCAGACAGAAAATTTGAACACACAAACACAAGCTGTGCTATATTCCTGCATGACATCACAGACAAAAGTGCTGTTTGCATATCTTAAATACATTTTTAAACGTTACTTATTAAGTAAGGAAAATTAAAGTGAAGATGACAAAACAAACAGAAATATAAAGAACAGTATATATGGATCTGATTAGATTCGTTCCCAAAAATGACATCAATTTTCGAAATTTAATACAGTTAACAACTTACTGTGATGAGAATTGTCGCACATACAAAATTCACATCCGGTTCCGCCCTTGACGTAATATTCACAATTCAAAGGGCAATTCATCTGGTGAGGAATACATGGATTTTTAATGTGGTGGTGACTTCCGTCCCCCGTCAGAAGATGAGTGTCTATCAATCAACAATGGATGAATTTTATTTATTATGATTTAGTAATGCATTAATTTTGAAATGTTTTTGAAAACATGTTAATATTTTGGTCGTAGAAAGATTAGTTGGTAATTATAGAAGCTTCCTGCTATCACAATTTCAGTTTAAGCAACTTATCGTGCCATTTTGGCAATATTTACGACATCGTAGATCAACAGAAGCTATTACTCATTTCGTTAGGGGTACAATTCGTACAATTTGTTACAATGTCGAACGTATCAATAGTAATATAGACTAAAATCTTATTTGTACCTCTCTTAAAAGCATGTTTTTCATGATTCCTTTAATATAAATAGAAGTTGAAATTATCCCCCCCCCCTTCTTACCCACTCCTTTACAGTGGCAGATATCGCAACCAGCGCCATCTTTCTCATATCCGTTTGCGCATGACAAATGACAAAACATCGTAATTGGTCGACAACCACCGAAACCAAAAGAGTCGAAAATAAACCCATGTGCCTCAGCTGTAAGAATACGAATTAATAGAAATATACTTAACAATATTATATGACTTATTGTGTCTGATTAGATTTATTCCATAAAATGACATCAATTGTCGAAATCACATCCGGTCAAATAAATCTGTCCACATATTCGTTAAAAATATTATGCAATAAAGAAATCCATGTTATGCTTGAACATTTAGTAGCATCACCTTGCACACATGAAATTGATAAATAGGTAAACTTTTGCTCTGTGTTTTCTGAAACAAAATGTTCCTTAAAATTGATGAAAATTAGTATAAAAAATGAGAAAATTTGGAAATGTGTATATTTTGTGACCTTCCTCTGGCCTTTTGTATCTTTTTGAATCAATACTCTTTTCACAACAGGGATGTCACGTGGCTTTAGATCACGAAGTATTGCACCGTTCTAAGAGACACCCTAATCTAAGGATAATCCAGGTTTTACCCTTTTAAAAAAAACACAAAATTTGGAATTTTGTTAAAAATCGTTTTCTGTTCATTTTTGTTAATGGTTTAAAAGTGTCAGTCTAGGAATCCCGAAAAATTTGCTTTCATGAATGACTTAAATGGTTACTTAAGTCTAAGACAACGTAATGACCCTGGGACTTAGATTGCACATAGGATTCGAACACATCACCTCAACATACCGATACCCACCTATCAACAAGCAACACAACACCCCGACAATTTTCATTTCTCTGGTTTTCTCCACTAGATCCTGCTTATGATGGCTAGGGAATTATTCACCTCTTTATATGTCATGTTTCCATGACTGCAGAATCAATCCTGTTTGATAAAACATGGAATGGCGGAGATATGATGCAGGTGGACAATTTGAAACGGAAATAACAAGTTCGATAACAATACTGACTGGCCCGGTGACCTGTTTACTGGACATCATGTAAAAGATACTATTCTATTTAGCCTATATTTACTATAGGCACACAATTAACAAATTAGTTAAATATTTACTTCCTTTTGCTGTTTTTGATGTTCATTTTGCCTGTATTAGACCAGACTTATTTTAAAACACAGCTTCCATGATTGTATTCGTAAGTAAATGCAGTGACAACTTAAATAAGTTAACATCTGTAATTTAACTACGTATACCTTTTGATATCGAATGAAACGATTCATATCTTATATGAATATATATATCTTATATAAATCAAGTTAAAAATAAAGAGTCATAATCAGGGCTCAAATATATTTAGCATGCTAACTCTTCCATTCAATTTTTCTTCAATGCATATTGTCCGTAGTGGTAGCACATTCGGTAGAACGCTCGCTCCGTGATCGGGAGGTCGTGGGTTCGGGCCCCGGCCGCGACTGACCTGAGTCGATAAAAAATAGGTAGCATCTGTTCCTTCGCCAAGAGTTCAGCACTTTGAAGTGAAAGTTGCGGGTCCTTCGGATGACCCCTTTAAAAACCGAGGCCCTGTGTCACGACAGGCGTTGGCATGATAAAGATCCCTCAATGCTCAATCGCGCTGAGTGCCGAGTAAAGGTCAACATATGGAGAAATGATGTACAGCTTATTCATGAGATTGCTCTCACGTGATTTACTTCTTATTAATATTCATAAGATCCTGCATACACTCGAAATATTCCATTTCTTTGAATTTTTATATTAAAACCTGCAAGCACAGTTTGTTTTGCTTTTTTTAAGCCACTTTCATAGTTATTTGGAGAAATTTGTATTATTAACAGTTGACAACTCATAATACCATCTTTTTTGGTAATAAGTAGATCACACTGATGCAAGAAATTGCCGTTTTCAAAATAAAAAGGCGGTCGTAACTCTTCATGAAAAAATAAATCATCAGTATTTTATAGAAATAGGCATCCGTTTGCACCTATTAATCGGCGGAAGAACTCTGTCAATTTGCAATAAACACTTACATTTAATCACCAAAAATGACAAAGACACCAATTCTGTGCTCTTTCCTTCATTAAAACATTATACTCTCGCTTCGGAATTTATACTCTCGCTTCGGAATTTCCATTATAGCTCCAATATGGCCAATATTTAAATGAGCAGAATGAACACCATTTCTCCATATGAAATTTGAAGCCCTTCATCGGTATATGGTGACGTCTCTATATGATCGAACGGGACGTAAAACAACATACAATTAATTAATTAATCAATCAATGCAAATTGATTGATTGATCGTTGCAGTTTTATGTCCCTTGCAAGATTAATTTATTCATATGAGACCTAGACAAGTTGAAGTAGGCACCTGCTCACCTTGTGTGACATGTTGGTGACTTGCATTTATTCAAAGCTTTCAAGCACTACAATATATCATTGCGATATTCAAGCCTTCTTGATTAAGATCAAAATCAAAAACTGTGAAACAAAAATTGTTTATTGTCTCCCTTCACACAAACTGACATGCGCAGTACTGACAGTCACGTGGTCCGCGTAAGTAACCATGGTAGCAGAATACGTTACATACGTCCAGTCCTTGAACACATGGGTTTAGTAGCTTTATGTCCGGCTCATCCGCCTCGTTGATACCGGCTAAAAATAATAAAGAGTGCCTTGTATATTTCAAGTAAAAAAATTTAATAGTTGATAATGATATCGGTTTGTATGGTATAGAAGGACACTGAAATTTTACCGACTTTAAATAAACACTCAGATTCATACGAAATGAACATAATATGAACACGTGTTTGAGATGACATGAAACACCAGTTAACTTATACAATGACATGTATTTATTATAAGATGAACGAATACGGTTGTTTATGTCAAAGTTCTCCTGCATGGATGTTCATTTTTATGTAAATGGAAGCATTTATTTAAAACAAACCAAGGAAATAAATCACTCAATACATACACTAACCGGCTTTGTATATGGCATCCTTGCACACACAACGTCTGCAGTCCACAGTATCTGCCAAAAATCCATGTTTACATTTTATTTGGCATATTGTAAACGCAATGGCACATTCGTTGTCCATGTGACCGGAAGGAAATGAGGTTGTAGATGGAGCTAAATCACTTCCTGCTGGTTTTACACCTAGGAGCGAAAGGATTAAAAATCCATAGCTTTATTTTTTACAAATACCGTTATTAAATCACTGGAATATTTACCTATCATTCTATGCATATGCATTGTTTTATGTATTTTTAGGCCCTACAAATATCGCTCAATTTCGGTTCACAATTTAATCCATGACAGTGACGTAGCATCGTTTTTGAAAGTGGAGGAGGCCAACCCGAGGAAAACATTTTCAACTTATCTGAAAAAAAACTTGACAAGCAAGAAAAAAAAAAAGAAGGAAAAATTGTGCAAACTCGAAAATCCTATTTCGTGTGTGTGTGTGTGTGTGTGGGGGGGGGGGGGTGTAGATTCCAACTTCTTTTAGTACCATTTTTTTTACTTCGACACTGCATTCCCCTTATATTACCCTTATTTTACAATACTGCAACCAAAAGTGGCCTCCCCCTGATACTACGTGCCTGCATGATTTTTAAGCAGTCCTCCTTTTCATTACCTGGGATAGCATTTGTGACGGGAGTGGTTTTGGCGCCACACATGCAGTATTGACAGTTCCCCGGGCCCAGGATGTAGCCATATTGACAATAGGCAGTACACACGTGTTGCCCTGATTGACAAGGATTAGGTAAGTAGTAAGCAAGAGTTGTCGTTTCTGAGGACGGTGTTGTAGAGGGCGCTGAAAGCAAACATAAATCATAACTACGTGTCTGTATGAATCTATGTTTTACGTTGAAAATAAATAACTTTCTGGATAAATATTCAGTCTAGAAACTGCAGAAATAATAAACTTATACGAATTTGGCAAAAGTTCTGAATCATATAATTCTACAGATGAAACTTAAGTCATTAGAAAAAATGGAGTCGGGGCGTGGTTTGTGTACCTTTAGTGTATACGATTCCTGGGATAAGATTCCTACACAGACAATACTGGCAGTCGTCCGGTCCCAGGAGATATCCTTCCGCGCAGTACTTGTCACAAATGGTCTGATTTCGGATACAGGGGTTACTCATGTGAACTTTAATTTTACTAATGGTCGTAGTGACAGGTGTTTGTGTTGTTGCTAAATCTGAAATTCAAATGAAAATCTTTATTTTCTTAATCTCAATCTTAATCTCAACCAATTATTACTTGCTGTTGATTTTTTCCATTAACGAACGTGACTGTAACATTCCTGTTCTGCTGTTTCTGCTGTTCTAACAATTTTAAGGATCGGGCTCTTGTGAGCATCTTGACAAAAATTAGGAGACAAAAATGGCACATTCTGTTCCTACAGCTTTAACCAACACATGTTCTAGAACTAAACTTCTTTTACATTAACTTATACTGAGATGACAATTTTGACGATATAGAAACTGGAACAATATTTTTAGTATTAATAAGTAGGGAATTAAATATTTTTCGATATTGAAAAAGAAAGTATTAAAAATTCTGATATTGGTCGCACTATTTCTTTCATAATAGCCACGAGTAAATTTCAAATCAATCATGATAAAAAAGTGTCAAAAAGACTGTTTCTATCGAAAAAGAATAGTTTGCACAGATACGATTATGATATTGGTCGCACTATTTCTTTCATAATAGCCACGAGTAAATTTCAAATCAATCATGATAAAAAAGTGTCAAAAAGACTGTTTCTATCGAAAAAGAATAGTTTGCACAGATACGATTAAGTGTTCGTGCCAGAATAGCACAGCTCTTCTATGGCAAAAGTTAAGAAAACCTTAACCTTGAATTGACCTTAACAAATATTCAAAGCTTTTGACGTGGTGTAAACTTATGCTTAATAAATACTTTATACGATGTACTCGGTTCTACAAGAAACATGACCTATATGTGACTCCATCCGTAATCAGTCTATATAACTTCGTTGTTGATGTGCAACTAGTTCATTTCGAATTTTATAACGGATAATCTATCTTTTAATGATATTATAATAATATTTCCCTTTTATATCATGAACCGCTTCATATAAATTTTTGCAAAAAAAGTTAAGAGTAAGTTTTATACCAGTAATGTTGCTTTGGTAACAGATACAGAATTGGCAGCCTCCATTTCCGGTCATGAATCCTTCCGGGCAATTCAGCGGACAGAACTGTTGGTGAGGTAAACACGGATGTGTGTAACCGGAAATACTTTGAGGATTGGCGTGAGAACCGGAAATACTTTGGGGATTAGCATGGGAATTTTGGGATTGAGCTATTGCAGCAGAATCTAAAGAAAAAAAAACTTTTTATTATGTGTCTCACTTCAGCGCTTCCATCTCAATTTTCACGATAGCAAATAAACACTTAACTGTCATGAAAGAGAATACATTAAAACTTGTATAGTACGAACCCGAATATAACAAATTTACTGGTACAGAGAAGGTTTTGTTTTTTAAATCTACTGCAAAATTCTTAACAATTCTTAGTAAAAGTTTACAATTATAACGAACTCTTATATGACTAATTTACAGATATATCGAACCGATTTTGTGTCCCTGCAGAGTTTAAAAATAACGAAATTTACATCTTTCATAACGCATTTTCAAAGAAATTCAAAAATTAAACTATTGAACTGACATTATTTCTCGTAAGTATTCATATAATTCAATATATCAGAAAATGTAGTCATCCAAGATAAATCCCAATGAAATTTGATTTTGTTTCTGTATCAATATATAACTTGAACTCGAGGAATCGTTTCAAAGTAAAAAATTCTATTGATCGAACTTAGTTTAAGGATAAGGTATGTTTGTTTTTTGAACTATGTAACATGCAATTTGTGATGACATTGATACCGGGAGACAGACTTTTACAGATAATATCTGCCTTTTGGACCCTAAATTTACAGTATATAGCATCTATTTTTGCAATAGTGTCACCTAAATACTACCAAATTTACTACACATCAAGGACAACCCTTATACCTATCAAAGTAAATGTAAGTTTGACCTTGTTTCTAAATGTAGACTGATAGAAGAATGGGGTCATAAGTAACTGACCAGCTGGCACAGATTGACAGCCCATCCTCTCCTGGTGAGGCCGTACATTACACTTACGGCATACTGGAACAAGAACATGGGTGGATAAGACGCAAGAAATGCCTACGAATGCCAAAACTTGAACTAAGCATTTTAGGCAGTATTATTAATATGACATGAATTTATGACATATACTGTTTCTGTGCTAACTTATACCGGTTATATTAGTGCTAGTCTTAATTGATATAGTAATGATAGAAATTTTGTTTTCTATATATTATATGTCGAATATTTGGCATTTTCCCGCTTATTAACTCATGTTCTTTTTTCTTTATCAATAATACTGCTTCAGTGCGTTATGCTTTTGAAAATCTGCCATAATTGAAACATTTATTCTCTATGTTTACGAGGAGTAAGAAAGAAATCTGACTAAGTATATATAAATATTGTTTCTAGTGTCGCATGGAAAATCAATTCGCAAAGAAAAGGAACTTTCTTGGAAATTTTTCTTGAAAAACTAATATACTATGAAAAAGGGGAAAAAAACGAACGACGATCTACCGATCTAAAACAAATTTACAAATAATACAATTCTAGGAACAGGGAATAAAACACGGACTCCCGGAAATTCCAGGGGTTGGATCAGGTGCCTAGGAGAAAAGATCTAAATATTTTTTTTCTCATCTTGGCGATTTACTCTCGGAGGATACTTTGTTTATGGATGAGAACCTCATGCTCAAAAACTGTCCCCATGAAAAAAAATTGTATTCATGTTTTTTTCCCAGCCCACCCCCTATATGTCCGCCACTGGTAAGAGGCAAAAAGCCCGATGATACGTAATTGGAAGAGTATATGAATTATGTGAATTACATTCAAATGGAACACCAGTTATTTTAATCTACTTCAGGACTTTAAATCAAATCCTCGCGTTATATAATTGGGTCTGCAAATCTGTAAATGAAAACGCCTAGTCCTCAACATTACACAGAAGTTCACTCACCTTGGGTGGGCGTTGCACATTTACATATAGTACATCCATTACTGTCTTTGGCATATCCATTGCTACATTGTAGTGAACAAAACACTGGGATGTATGATGTCAGAGAACACAGTAAAAATCCATCACATCCGCCTGAAATCAACAATATACACATCCACGAAAATACAAATTTATCCATAAAGTCCGAATTTTCTCTGTTTCCTCAAAATTGTGAATGTATTAAAGTGAGTAGAAAAGTCCAACAACTTGAAAGAGGAATTCACTACTAAATTCTCAGTCGCGTACCTAGAATTTGTCACCAGAGTACCGAGTGGTGTTAATAAATAGTTCTAACTTTCTTCTGAATGCACCATAGTGAAATGGTCAAAATGAGAATCACGCATCTGCGCTTTGTTCTTCGAATTTGAACTGAATAAAAGTAAAAGTAAGAAAAAAAAGAGCTCAAATAAAAATTTAATAGATCATTTCGAAACAAAAATAAGTGAGTATCCCTTAGATCTTGTATAAGATTTCAATGTACACCAATTGACTTAAGATAAGACACATGACGAGGGGTGACTAGTGCTGTGAACGCACTGACTTGACAAGAAGTACTTATCCTTCTTTCATTTGCTATGCAGAAGTTCTATATTTATAACTGGTCAAACTTCTCTCACTTGGACATTATTTTAGCCAGGTTTAAGAGATGGCAGATTTTGTGGTAGTGCTGTAATTTTCTTATATAACAAGTTGTGAGAATATTACTTAAAATGATAATCTTAAAAAGAATATCAAGCCCATTTTCCCATTATTCTTATTCTAATCAAATTAAATGTGAAAATAACGAACAGTTATCATCCTCAGAATTAATTCTGGATTTTTGAGGTATAACTCTATGGTAAAATATATAATGAACCCCTACCCGATCACCATTGACGCTTCCACGGTGCCATTTCTAAAAAAAACATTAATCATTGAACTTTTCCGCCCATTCGGTATAAGATTATTTGATTTAAATTTCTATTTCCAAAGTGGATGTGTCGCTCTGCTCTGCTTAGAGAATAGAAATCACTTTACCCGGCGTCTGTCTGACTGTCACACCTTACATCTAGAAAACTGTAAGAGGTATGTATTTGGTATTTTGCACCTATTTTGCATTTTGTAAATTTTAAAGTAAATTTTAAAGCCAGGAAATTTGGGGACATACTAGCTCATCAATATCGTGCAGTTTGAAAAATTAGACTAGTGTCATATTGTGAATTTTACTGGGTGGCAATAAATACAAAATTTACAACATGACAACCAATACATTCAGACGGGAAAAAAATGAAAATAAATTCCTTTTGTTGTTGTTGTTTCCAATGCAAAATTACCTCGACTTGACGCAAAAAAATATCCTTGAATGTTAGCCAGTTACTGAGAAAAATATTTTTTTAGATCTATATTTCCATGGAATGGTTACCATTTAGAGAATTTTAAATGCTCCATGCAAAGCTTCTTGTGATTATGCAAAACTTCTTGTGATTATTAATTAGTGGTGTGAAGTTTCATTAAAAATGTCCAACTGCGAGAACTTCTGTGAACGAAATAAATGGTTGCACAATGGTTGTATGCCACCCAGACTTAGTTCGGGATGATATTTATTTTATATAATTATATATAACCATTGCATCGATAACAGATAGAAAAGTTTCGCTCGATAAGCAAGTAGATTGCCTGGTCAGTAAAACATCCTCACAACTTCAGGGGTCCTAAATTAGTCCACTCGTGGTAGTGGGACCCCTGACAAACTTTTGTTTGTTTTTCTCGGGCCATCTTCTCATATTGAGAAGCACCATGAATTTTGGCTTTCATAAGATGACATAAAAAGTATACAGAACGTAGGTAGTTACATGTAATAGATTGTTTATCACACAAAGGCTGATTGTGATGGGTCAAGAGATATGAAAAAACAATCAGGATTTGTAATTTCCTGGAAAAATGTCAATCAGCCCGTAAAAAATCAAATAAGGTTGGCAAGAGGTCCACTGACCACAAGTGGATCAGGACCCCTGACGTAGTGAAGATGAGGATAAAATTACTGTGTTGGAATTTGGCAATCCAGATTATACTGACTATAATACCTTTATTTTAGATAAAGAATACGTAAACGGTTTTATCCCTTAAACCAGCTTCTGTCTGCAGAATTGCTTTTCTGTAGATTTTTTTTCTCAAAGTTTATTGCAATAAAGTGTGAGTGACTTTCTTACCGTACTTAAATGCGATATGCAGAAATAGTACTCCAAAGTAAAACACAGATAGGTTCCGCATGCCTTTTTGGTGATTCAGAAAGCGTGAGAACAAAATTCATTCATAAAATGTCTCCTATGACCTTGACCGAGACAGGTGGAATTTTGGTATCGCTTGCACTATCAATAATTTGATTTCTTATACATAGATGGAGAAAATGCTATTGCTTTTTACCCTGTGCTTTTTCGGATTCAAAGTGATCTATATGTTTTATACATGGTTTTAATGTGTGCAGCGCAGTTTATATTTGTCTAAACAGAAGTATTACAGAGCTCTTGTACACGGTTGAGGGTACAGCTTTCAATTCCGTTTTTTTTTCACACATCAAAGTCTCTTCAAAGTCTTTTTTTTTCATTTAAATACTTTGGATTTCCAACGTTTCGGCATGAGCATCATTGAAGGGACATAATTTGTCGAAATGCACATCTGGTGCAACAAAATTGGTACCGTATACACTGTAAAAATTGTGTTTAGGAAATAAACACTTCTATTACATGTTTAGATCTAAACGTGTATAGTATTGTGTTTAACAACTAAACACTTATGTCTTAACATGTTTTATATCTAAACGCGTTTAGAAATTAAACACGTTTTACTGTAAAAGTGCAGAGTTATCTTCCCGGAAATGACACACATATATTTGAACGTTAATTTGAGCGGCTATGTAAACAAAGAAAACGGAACAAGCTAAGGTGATGTATCAATGAGAGTTATGACAACCCAATTCAAGGGATAACCATGACGAAATGGTGAAATACGTGAAAGGGCATCTTGTTGCTGCAATACATTAAAGGTTTGTTTTCTTCTTCTTTGCATTAATTAACCACGATGAGCAACGTAAATGAAGTTGACTTGGGATATCTTGAATTCGTTCATAGACTTGCAGGAGAAGAAATAATATTAAATGTCATTAAAAACATCTATATTTATATCTGTGTAGTTTCACTAAAATTTGAACAATTTTGTTTTTCTAAGTAATATGTAAAATATCAGTGATAGTGTACTTTTTCTAAAATCTGGCTTTCTTTCCTACAGGCACCGTACGTAGTCCAGATCGAACTCAAAATACACGTATCAAAGTACCTGGTGTCATCTTCAAGTGTAATGTTGTTGTTCCATAATCAACACTTTGAAACTTCATTTGTTGAAGACTACTGTGTTAATTCGACAGTGTTTACAATTATCCTCGTGCATTCGGAATGGGTTACTTTCTGGCAGTTATTGATGGGATATAGATTATAATATGTGGTGCTTTGGGACTTGCTGAAAGTTCATAAAATTTGATATTTTGTGATTGACATGAGGAAAACTCTGCAGCCGGTTCAAAATATAATGATTGTAATAAATATATATATAAATATACATTTTGTATTTTTAGTTCAACAATTCTTTAATAAAGCCTTTGAGAAATGTTCAATGAAGTTTTGATATTAAATTGTCAGCTTAATATTATTTTCTTAATAATTTTGAAGATTAAAAGTTTGTTATCTATGTGTACGTTATAAATTATGTGTCATTCTGATTGAATTGTTGAGACTAATCAAATCTATTCAGTTCTATCTTCTACATTATTTGTGTAAATTAAGTACATGTACATCGCACAGTGACCATTACATTGTATAATTAAATACATATCCTAACGTTCAGTGGCTCTTTGGAAAATAATTAATATTGGTTACATATTTTGAAAATTTTGACAATTATGCGCATTTAAAAAACATATACTTTGTGTGCCTAAATTTACGAGAGTGTTTTGTTTTTCTGCAGGTACAAATTAAACTTATGATGTGTTTAGATTTTAAACACATCTGCTGTCATGTGTTTAGAATTTAAACTCTTGTGTTTATGTGTTTAGATATGTTTAATTTCTAAGCACACAAGTGTTTAAATTCTATACACTTTCTAAGACATGTTTAGGAATTTTACATGTTTAGAAATTAAACATATAAAAAAGGAGATGACAAGAAAGTGTTTAGAAAAGTGTTTGAATTGTAAACACATTTTTTACAGTGTATGATTTACATCAAAACTTGCGATATATTTTGTTCTTCAAATCCTTTTTCCCCACCAAAAACAGTTTGGTATGCTCATCACGTTCAAAACCGCTGCAAATCAACCAGATACATGTATATGATCAAGTTAATTTGTTCAGATCTTTATTAGATACATTGACAGAGTGGGCAGCCCTGTGCATCTACTTGGTAACCATTCATACACTGTTTCATACAGTCGAATATTCCAGGACAGACTACACTGATTCCTGCAGGGCTACTAGAAACGGAAATAGGCAATGTGGTCAACGGCACCTGAGTTGTAGACGAATCCGGAATCGGTGCTCCTAAAAAATATAAATTTTCAATACATGCTTTGTCTATTTATTATACTTATAATACCAACAGTTACTTGTTAGCTTTAAATAAAATAAATGAAACCCAGAGAAAGGTTTACCCTGCGTAACGACGTCATTAATGTCGTCATTACAAGAACAGAGCGGGCACCCAGTTGGATCTGTTTGATATCCCGTCCGGCAGTCCAGGGTACAGAAAAAGTTCGCTAAACATGCTTTCCCAAGGGGCGGAGCTATTGTGGTGGTAGGCGCCGTTATGGTTGAAGTGGTCGTAGGAGATACTCGTGACGTCACAGTTGTATTCGTTTGATTGACAGTTGACGTAGGAGTACCTGTTGTGATATCTTTTGTTGCCCCTTGAAGTTTGTCATAATAAGCTTCTAGGTCTGCTTGATAAGATTTATTTATAAAACATGTATGTTCAATTATCTATTACATGCATTGATATTGCAAGGATAGTATTTAAGAAATAAACAATTTGATATATTTTAAAGCAGGTAAATACTGGAAATACTAGTAAATCAATACTTGATTTTTAGAATGTGATATTTATAATATTTACCATTTCCACATAGGCATTTTGTACATCCCTCTTCATCGATAATGCGCTGACACCAAGGGGGTGGAGCTAGACATGTATAGGGGGCGGGGTCACATGACGTCTGATTTTTTATAGGTGTTTTCTGATTACTCAGTCCTAGAGCTGCCCCTGACATCGGGTTCATTTGTCCCATGAATCCTCCCATTGGGGACATTGCTCCAGGGAATCCCATTTGTCCTGACATAGGAGGATTTCCCATTCCAGGGAAGGAGCTTCCGGCACCAGACATTGAACTTCCCGAACCTAACATAGCGGCCATAGGATTCATCGGTCCCATCTGACCTTAAGATGTTTTAAAATACTTTTTGTACAAACTCATGCGTATCTTGATGTGTTACATCATGGGAGACATTATAAAGAAGAAACTACATTGATTCATATTGCTAGAGAATTCTAAGCTTCTGAATTGTGATAAAAAGGAATATTTTTATACATTCCGATATACAGATCTTAGGAATAAAGATTATTATAATACATATATATAGGAGAAGTTTTTAAAAATGTTAAGGGTGGTGACTTGCACAAGCAGGTTAGTGAATTGTAAAAGAGGGTTAAGGCAGGAGGAAATGTCAGTCAAATATTTTTCTAAATGATATAAGGTAAGCAACGTTTTAAATCATGTTCAGTACTGCATGCAGTAATATATTTTGTTTCGAAAACAGAATTTACCACTGAAGCTGGGAAAACCAGGAAAGCCAAAGCCGCCATTTTTACCAAACATGGAAGCAGAAAACGGACTCAGTGCGCTTGCGTGGGTTGTCTCTCTTGTGTACCGGAAACTTCCTTTTGAGTTTAATATTGAAAGAACATATGTAGGAGTAAATTTCTAAAATGAAATGTATCAGCTTTGATTTTCTACAACCAGGACTATATCAAGACGAGATTTTTAAACAGATTAAGTAAAAGGTGTTGTCAAATGTTGACAGAGATTCTCAGTTAGATATTTCGAATTGATACATTACTATCTAAAATCTCTAATAACACATCCCTTTTTACTTTACTATTCAAAGATGATGTTGAAAACGTTCACATGTTGACCCATGCCAATGCTGAAAAAGTTCATTTGTTTCTTTAAGCTATATTTTAAAGAAGGTGACTTTAGACTTTGAATAGTATGCAATAATAATATTTGCAAGTAACAAGATTTGAACCTTATGCATTTTTGAACAAACTTTAATATGCGGTCCATTCGGAATGCTTACAGATAAAAATATCAAGAAAATAGAAACAGGTTCAAAATCTGAGAAGAACCCGTATAAAGTTCATTGTCTATCCTTGGGTCATCTTGCGCAAAAGTTCTATATTTGGGACCTGTTTGATAATAGACGATCCCATAAGACTTATCTGTGCTATATGCACTGTGTACACTGACGATCTAGATAAAACCGGAAAGAACCGCCTGTTAAAGGTGAAGCAGGTTCTAGTTGAAGTTCGCATTCTCATTTATAATTCTACAGGGTAAAGAAGGTTCTGGAAAAATTGTGATAATATAAAAATGAATGAAAACTGCGTGAGAACATTTACTATTATACTATGCGTAAATATGTATTAATAAAGGAAATTGATTGACTTGATAAATGGATATTTATGCAGAGGAATTTAGTTTCATGTGCTTCCAAAAAGCATGTCCGGCTATTATTTCCAAACAGGGAAAAATTACACTCAGTCATATTAATGGTCTAAGCCTGATAAAAATGTCTTCTTCCCCTTCCCCCTTTTTCTCTCTCGTGCATTTGCCACTTTAAGGTAAAGCCATTTTAATTCAAGAAATAGTTTCTATAATTATGCTTACTGTTGCATGTACATGTGTGACAGCCATTAACGTCTGTGACTGTATGACACCAGGGGGCGGGTAAGCATGATATTGATTCTGATTTACATCTGCTTCCAGCGGAAGCTTGCTTGAGTTTCTGGAAAAACAGCTGAGCTGTAAAATAGATATTGTTTTCTCGCAAGGAACTTGTTATCACGAAAGTTCTGTATAAAAGCAATGTTACTTTTATCAAATTTGTCCCATTTCAATTTTAATATCTGATGATAAACGATTGTAACATTAAGCATTAAGTGACCATTATTTGTACTGTTGCACTGAAACATAGACAATGCGCATGCACAATTTCATTACGCTTTACTGAACATAATTCAAATTGTACTTTTGTTTTATAACAATATTCAGAGAATGACCATTCGATTTGACTTTTATTAACCTTTATCACATTATAATTAACCTAATCTGTTAAACGTTAAATACTCACCTTGTGCATTGAGTTCCTTAAGGAAAAGGAGAAAAATTATGTACTTTAAAACTGACTTCATTTTTTTAGGCCTGCAAAAGTGTATTTCAACAATGTTAGGTGACAGATGAATTGCAGTCTTTACAGAAACATATATACTAAAATCGGGAATTTCCTTTAATTTCTTTATAAAAGGTGAAAGGAAAGACGAACTTCAGAAAACTATGGGTTTTTTTTTTTCATAATTCATATAATTACAACTTAGATGTATGAAAATTAACAAGATCTAAATTATAAGATACTTACGTTACTTCCGGTCGATAGTGTAAATACTTCGTTAATAGGTCATGACCTTTGTAGATAGGTAATTGACGTAAATGAAGTGGATCGCACCTGCTCACGTCCGCGATAAAGACGCGCCATTATCCGTATACAAAGGATTACTTACAGTTCCAAGGTCTGCTGTTAAATAAAGTGTCATCAACAAGCGTGTGTGTAGTGATGTTGCACATTTTGAAATACTCTAACCAATTGATAAGAGGTACCAAGTTGTATTCAAAACAAATTTATAACAGCAATTGACATTAAGATATAATTTAACAGAGATAATCATTTTATTCAGTGTTCATACGGAAGTTCACTTAATCTTTGTCATACATTAATTTCGTGAGATTCTTAATATTTACAGATGTATAATTTTTAAGCCAGACAAAGCATTTACAAATTCGGTTATTTTTGATACAGTATTATAATCTTTATTGATACAAGAGTACGCCAGAATGAAATTTTTGCTAGCAGACACGTGATTACGCTAAACTATATTCAAAATTCTCGCAAATGCAAGGCAATTTACAGCAGAAAATGTTGAACAAAATGATCCGAAGTAATGAAATACATGTACGAAGTAGATCATGCTTTGATGTGTAAATAGATGGAACAACGTTTTAGTGTACTTTTTTTAAAATTGAAATTCGTCAGAACACACCCATTCAGGCACCCACCTCTCAAATAAAGACGCCATAAACGGAGTAAGAAATATATCTTAGAGAGAGAGAAAAAAAGACTGACAAATTTCGTATATATGTATAAAATAAGTAGGAAGATGCTGATTTTTCTTCACTGTATTTGAGAGGAAAATGATTAATGTCTACTTGAATTTTCAAGCACGGATGATCCCTTATTATAAATCGAACAATTTCATGTCAAGTGAACTCTGAAAGTACATGTAAGCGTAATCAATCGCTTGTATAACAAGTGCACCTGACAACTGAAATCATGTAAAGAATCTCTTCATTTACAACAGCTGTGATACGGAAAAAAAAAACATGTATACGTAATATCCAGATTGTTGCTCTTGTTTTTTCGTGTTTTTTGGTGCAGTATTAATATACATTTACAGTCCCTCAGAGAATATATGTTCCTTTCTTTTGTTTCATTGGGTAAATATTAAATTTAATACATAATTCATATTAAGCAATTATTCTGAAGTGGTCTTTGTGGTTTCGTTTGAACTAAAAAATAACAATTTTGTGTAATTAATAAGATTCATTGTTCATTTTACACGGACATGTACAAAGGTATTGATTAAATTTGTACAACGTTTCTGAAATGCATAGGACACATTTTAAAAATACATGTATACATAGACATAAAGTTAAGAAAAATAAATCAATTTTTATCTACTCTTCTAAGGATTCTGTACAGAAGCTGTTTGAGGTAGTTATTCGCTCCCTCTGACCTCGGTACGGAAACTCTCTCTAGCTGATCACGTGCGGACTGACGATCAGTGGACGTCCTAGAACGGACCGTATGTTGGTCATTTGGGGGACTAGAAGCAAGTGATAGGACAGGTCGACGAGATTGCCGCCTGGCAAATGCTGTTTGTCTATTTTGATTGGAAGATCTGGAGTCAGGTGACATGAGTATCTGGTTTTGATCGGAAGGTGTTGGGTCACGTGACAGGGTTTGAGATCTCGTTGGAAGACGCACACCGGAAATCAAACCGCGTGTTTTTAAGAAATCGTTCTTTTGGTATTTATCACGAATATTTTGTTCAATAATTCTTCTTCTGTCAGCCTCCAATTTACGAATGCGCTCGTTGTTCAATTGGATAGTGGAAACTGCATCTCGGTTTCTGTTGTTGGCACTGAATCTGCTAGATGTGCTGTCAATCGGATTACTACGACTTGACGGAACATTTCTAAAATTGAAAGTCCTTCTGTCTGCAACGTTTCTGTTTCTATTCCAGTTGTTCTCCGGGAAGCCAGTATTCATTTGAGTATTTGCACGCCAGATTTGTCTCCCTCCGAATGAAGTATCACCCGTTTCTGGTTTGGATTGGTCAGTTTTCTTAGGATTTCCATTAAATGAGAAAACAGGTCTCGTAGAATCTTCGCGCCTGGAGGATCCACTACGAAAACTCATAAACTGAGAGGTCACATGATTTAGAAGTATTGCTGAAAAAGGAAAAAAAATATAATATGTTCTGAAATTCTTTTTTAGAAAATTTTAAGAGTCAGAATGGATTGTTTTAATTTCCAATGACATTTAAACACTTTCATTATGGTTTTTGCGGGGGAAAAATAAGCACACAAAAACAAACGAAAGTGTCATGGGCTACAATGCTTACCTGAGTAAACTTATCTTTTATACAAATTTGAAGTGGGTCTTAATGTAGCCATCATGTTATTGAATTAAATAATGTCATCAGTATTAACACCATTTTAGTGACTTGGGTTTGAAGTCGAAATTACTGTTTACAAGCTGTACGCTTATTTGTTATTGAAGAGACTGTATATTTCTGTGTAAAACTTCAAACCCCCTTTTTTGTGACCCAATCCTATCATCGAGGATCACGGCCTTAAACACTTGAATCTGCACTACATGGAGATGTTTATTTATTAATGTGACTGATTGTATGTTATTCTTTTGTAAAACTTTGATACTTTCATGTTGCCCCAATAATTCCCTAAGTGTCAGAACTTATTGAATATATATTATATACTTTATATGGGATGTTTGCAGTCTGTTTTTGAAACCATTTTTCAATCATATGCCTCTTGATGTTACCAAAACCTAGCTCTGGGAACTATTTTATGATTAGACGTTGTAGTCTCGATATATGCCTGTCAGTATGAATAACTCTCTCCCGCTATTTTGATATAATTAATTTTTAAGATCTTTCTTTTTATTTATTAAAATATAAAACCATGCCCTATTGTTATCTCACCATAGTCTTAGACAGGTTGGAGAGAAGAGTATTACTCGAAATCGGGTATTATCCGTGAAATCGGGTATAGTCCCCGAAATCGGGGTATCGTTGTATCCGCGAAATCGGGTATAGGCGGTGTAATCACCTTATAAAACTTAAACAATGGGATGGCGCATTTTGCCGAGTCAACTTTCACCTAGAGACAAATGTTATCTAAAGGTATCACTAGCCAAATAACAATTTGGAAGTCTGAATTAATGCGCATAGGACAACAAATACCCGTGGAGCTTAGTACATTTCATGATCTGCACCCAAACAAACGTTGGTTCTGCTTTTATATTTTATATAATGTTAAAATTATTTGCATCTTCTTCATGTTCATACCCAACACAACAGAACTATTAAATATCAGAAGTCTGGAATTTATAATATTTCCACATCAATACGACAAACATGAACATTTTGTAAATAATTCAATTTATACGGAAACACATTTCACACACAAAATAATCTGACATTTAAACAGGGGGTTTTTCTACCGTATTTAATTATGCGTCATTAATTGCTTTAACATTCATCTTGTGCATAAAAATAATTCACTACAAAATGTATAAACTATTTACTGGTTAAAATGTTTCAAATCACGGCAAAAACTAATATAACGCGTATATTATTTAGTATTTTTTCGGAGGGGGGGGGGGTTATGAATCTATTTTCATCAGTTGATTTTTTTGTCGTTGAATAGCATTCCTTACATATATCTTGTACCAGTACATATGTTTTATGTCACAGGTGGTGAAAAATCAAGTCTCAACCGGGACTCGAACCCAGGGCCTCTGGCGTACCGTGCCAGCGCTCTAACCACTGAGCTACTGAGACCCGATATATTGACTTACTTTCACGCACCTGTGAACCCGGTGACATATTCCCCCTCTTTGTTGAAATTCGTCCTCGAATTCTAGGAGTTAAGGAAATGCGTGAAGCATGCTCCAAGGGAATAGTGGGTATTTGTACGTTGGGCGCCAAATGTCACAGGTGGTGAAAAATCAAGTCTCAACCGGGACTCGAACCCAGGGCCTCTGGCGTACCGTGCCAGCGCTCTAACCACTGAGCTATTGAGACCCGATATATTGACTGACTTTCACGCACCTGTGAACCCGGTGACATTTATAAACAGAGATTGACAATTAAAGCTAATTCCCAGAAGTTATAAAAGGCGACATATTCTTTCTTATTTTTTTTTTTTAATTATTAAAATATCCTTTGGATTCAACATGCCTCCAACGTTTTAGCAAAGACAATGATGTTCTCAGCAACATAGCTTGTGAGAGAAAATGACTGTTGATCATTTAATTTCGCTGAGTCGGCAATATTGTACCATTTTTCGGCGACTTCAGGGGACGAAATTGAATAGCTATAACGGTTGTTACTAGCTGCTTACATTAATTATTCCTTGTCCGGACTATCTCGGTCAAGCGAAAATTAACCTCGAATGTGTTATGCATGTGTTCAAGAGAAACATCCCTCCCCTTTCAAAATAATCAAATTAAATGTAAAATGTTATTGTAGAGTTTTGTGCTAAACGTCATTGAATGGTATATATTCATTGCATGATAAGGAGAGAAGATCTATTCATCTAATAAAAATCTTATTGATTCCCTATTTTGCCCTCTTGAGTGAATAGAATTCTTCATATCTCCAAAACATTCATGCAATAATTGTTTATATGCCGAAACAATATGAGTTTAAAAAAGAAATCTGTTATTTTCTACCACATTCGACAAGTTTTAAAAATAACTAAACTTCATGTTTATTTTTTAACACATTTTTCACCATAGATGAATGATAACAAAAAGTGATAACCGTGAGTAATAAGTATCACAGATTACAGAAAAGACAGGGAATTATGAAGTTTTATAGTTCCCTGTCACGTGACGTACTGTCTAGAATCAATCGTATTTTAGCATATTATAATGAGGTTTAAAGCGATATAACCTAAAATAAACTACAGACTCTGAAGGGAAAACCTACCCTGTCTATCCAATACTATAATAATAATAAAAGAAAGTGTCTCCAATCTGTATGGATGATTAATTAAAAACAATGCAGCTCAAGACTCAAGCTAAGACGCGATTGAACACTCCACTTCAGTTTGTTCATATGTATAAAAAGTAAAAACAGTATAATATGTGAAAATTTTAATATATAATTCATATTTGAATATTAGCTCTATATTGAGAATGTATAATAAGCACACGAAAAGATGTGCGAATTGGATTTTTATTTATTTATTTATTTATATGAACCAATCCCCCACCCCCCACCCCCTCACCCCAGCTAAACGAAAATCCTTTTAATAAAACATCTCGTTCTCAATTTCCACACAAACACAAACAGGTAAAATAACGTCGCTTGCATCAATCAAAATGCAACCAAAACATTGGCGGGTTCTTTGAATGAAAATTTTCATGGTAAACTGACATTAAAATATTTTCTTTAAAAAATACGCACCCCCCCCCCCTTTCCCCGCGGGAATTGCAGGACCGTATACATACACCATAGGAGGAATTGATGAATTTACTAAAGATTCTTTATCTTTATCAATATACACTGTGTTAATTTTTAAAAATGTATTTAAGTTTACATGCATGTGCACATGTAGATATTAAATTTAATTCATTTCATATCATTTTTCAACCTGCTTTCCCTTTGTTGTTTTTTTATGTTTGTTTGTTTGTTTTATTTTATTTTTTTTCCCTTACGAAAACGTCAGTTTTGTTTTGAACATATTTTATTGCCAAGCAAAAGGATAAGAAACAAGTTCTAACAACTTACGAGTTCTTCTCCTTAATAAAACACATAATATTTGTCATGCAAAATAATAATGAAAACATATACAAATAAATGCAAATAGTATAGTATATCTAGCTAAACCTAAAGGATTCATTTATGAATCTGTGAACAGCGGCAAAAATGCCAATGTTTAACTCTAATGAAAAGTTTTCGTTGCCCCAGAGTAGTAGATGTACATCTATGATATCTAAATCAAGTCGAAAAAGAAGGTCAAAAAGATTATTTCGAGCATTAAGATATTTTTTACAAACAAAGAAAAAATGATAGGCATCTTCTTGTTTACCACAAGAACAATAAGGATTGTCAATAATATTACGTTTATATAAATCTTGGTTCAATACACAGTTGTGCCTTAATTTAGTATGGATTATGTTTGTAGTGCGTTTACCAAATAAAAAATAGGAAGGTGCTTTTGGAGCATTATCACTTATAATCTTACGAAAAGAATTAACTGAGTTGGCTTCTCTTGTATCTGTATCCAATAAATTCCATCTTTTAACAGCATCAGGTACAAATGATTTGTTAAATATTTCTAACCTGCCTCTTGGAATATTTAATTGATCTTTGTTTCGTGTATTGTATCTTGATATTTGTTCTCTTTTCTTTGGGACTATATCACGAATATATTCCGGTACATCACAATTGTTAATTTTAAACATTGTAATCATTTTTGCTTGGTAACGACGGTTTTTCAAAGGTACCCATCCTGTTTCAAAATAAAGTGATTCTCTTGAGGCTAGTATCGGAAGACCAGTAACTATCCTAGCGGCCATTAGTTGTACTTTTTCAAGTTTTTCTACATCAGATAAAGAGCAGCCATCCCAGACAATTGAGGCGTATTCAAGTGTTGGTCTTATAAATGTTGTATACAGTAGGGAAAGATTTTTCCTACCTATTGAAAATTTTAATTTCTTTAATAGCCCCAATTTTCTATATGCATTATTTACAATACTATCAATATACTCAGACCAGCTAAGATTTTGTGACAATAAAATACCCAAGTGGCGATGCACCGATACATACTCCAGTGTATTGCCTTGGAAATACAAATTTGGTAAAACTGATCTATTTTTTAAGGAAAAAAATACAACCTTTGTTTTTGATGGATTAAATCTTAAAAGCCATTTACTCGACCATTTATCTAAAACATCAAGATCATGGTTTAACGTGTATTCTATATCTAATAAATTAAATGATGCATGTTGTAGTGAATTGTCATCAGCAAATAATCTACACATTGAAAGCATATTTTCAGCAACATCATTAATATATATCAAAAATAAAAGAGGACCTAGAACTGAGCCTTGAGGCACACCTGCATATATATTGAGGTTCGATGATAGAAGATCTTTATACATAACTTTTTGTGATCTATTTCTCAAGTAACTAGTA